TAATTGGTTTGTGTTAAAATTTTGAAAAATAAAAAGATGAAGTTAATAAAATTTGATGCGGCTGAAAATAAATAGAAACTAGAGAAAGAGAAAAAAAAAAAAAGAAAAAAGAAAAATGGAGCTAGAGGACAACCACACGGGAATTGACCCAGAAAGAGGGAAAAGAGAGACACGAACTCACGCCTCAACCAAGGGATAATGTTTAGAAGCCAAAGGGGATTAATGAAACAAGAAAGTAGGGGTAAATAAGTCGACGATTGCGGAAACCCGAAAATGCCCTGCGGTATCCGATAATATTACCACGACAGAAAGCAACTCACGTGTGCACATGTGTGGCCGTATACTCAATTTGCAATTATTAAAGGGCGAAAAAAATAAAATAATCGTGAGGAGGAAAAGGTGCTGATTTCCAGGCAGGAAAAAAGCGCTAAACAACAAGATAGAGGCCCTCGTGCAAACTGTATGTCTCAGTGGAAATCATATCATCACAAATAAATAAATATATCAAATTCATTTGCTTTTTGATTTTATCAATAAATAAGCCAATTAATCTGAAGGAAACGTCATGTACGTGGGGGTCGACATTCCACTCTATTCTTCATTCGCTTGCTGATGCTAGCTGCTCTCGACCCCTTTCTCTTTCTCTTCCTAATTCAATTATTGACCACTTTTCTCCCCTTTTTTGGCCCCCTCCCTCCCTCTCTCTTCCAAGTCTATACGTACTTTCGTAGATTCTTCTAATATGTATATACACAAATTCTTCCACTTTAATTATAATTAATCTCTTGCATGTCCTGTCCTCTCTATGGTGTATAGCGATAAAAAACACTTATAAATATGTTTTATATTAATAGAGACAAAATTCTTCTCATATACTTATGTGGTATTCTGTAAATCTTACTTATAAAATATTTCAGACAGACTCATATCTTAGTAATGTTCTATTTGAGTCCCCAGATCTATGCATTCATTTTTTTTGTTTTCTTTAATTTTTTTGAATTTTTTTTACAATATATGATTGGTCAGGGAAAGTTCAGCTCAATTATTTGAGCTAAATTATTGCGTTTTTTGTGAAACGTACAATGTATAATATTATAGAGAGTACATATAAAAAATAATGGTTCGTCCTGCGCCATTTGTTCCTCATCATCCCCGTCCACACGTTTGACGACTCGAGATTTCTAATAAACGCAGAATGTCATTTGACCTTTTTTTTTTTCTGCTGTCAGATTTGGAAACAGTAGGGAATTAAGGACTCCCAGATTTCCCAATTCTTCACGAACAAAAATTTCAGTCGTATGTGTTAAACTGACATTTCACAAGTCGTCCTAAGTAAGTACTGGTCGTCCGGCCTTTTTTTCACTATTTTCCCTTGAACTACCATGAGAATGTAAGAAAATAAGCGCATTAATTAATTGCACATATATATGAGAGATTTTTCATTTGACCATTTGATTTCGTTATGTATCCAGTACATTTTTTTTAAACAACGTCCATGTGAACAGCTATTATACGTAAATTAACCTACGATAGATCTACTTTAGGATCATGATCTTATTAATAATTATTCGGCAAGCTGAGACACACATAATTATTTTGACATATACATTCCAATATCTTTGGTTGGTTTGAATAATTGAAACAGCGAGCCAGGTGGGTGGCCAGTGGCCACTTGTTATTTGCTTTTATTCGTATACTAGATGAGGAAGCTGCGAAAAGATAAAAACCCCATTTGTACACACACACACATGTGTGTATATGTGTATGTGTATATACATATATATATGTATCAATATTCCGTGACAGCTGCAAATCAGATCGACACACATCATGGTAATTAATTTCTGGGTTCCATGCAAGCAATAATAATGACAATAATTGATTGGAAGCTCTATGATGTGCGAAAATATAGAGCTAGTAACATATGCACCCATCAATTAATCTTACAACCTAATGGTATAAATTAAACATCATATACATGTAGGTGAAAAGTCGTGAGGTTCGATCTCACTTAAAACTCTTATCTCTTCAATTAATTAGAGTATGTGTGCGTAGGTGGTTAAGTGCATTAATTATGTAATTGGATGTAAAATCTCTTTCTAGGATCCACACATCTTTTGCTTTCAAGTCACAATCCAGTGTCACCTTTTGTGCCACTTGAGGACAAGTTCAATACAATTGTCCTTCAACCCCATCAAGTCCAAAAACGCACAAAACCAAATAACAAAAGAGATAAACACGCTCAAATCATAGAACCTAGCTACACGCACGCATGTCTGTACTGATCATCAGTCATATATCCTTCTTTGATTGGACTTCTGATTTTTTGCTCACCAATACATATACATATACATATATATATATATCATCTCCCTGTACGGTTATGTATGAACTACCTGCTCACACGTAAATATCCTTCTTCTTGCTGATCATTTGGGGAATATATATTCATGAATATTCTCGTCCTCATGAGAAGAAACACGCATTCGGAATGGGAGAATAAGGAGAAAGAGAAAGAAAGAGAAGTGTTTCGCCTCAGATTACGATGCATGCATGGCCTCAGATCCACCACAAAAGCTTCCTGAGCAATCGGATTGCGATTGAACGTAGCTGAACAGTGAATATTGCTTTCAAAGATTTCTCGGCATAGTGATTTTTGTGAAGAAACTGCCAGTTTTCTAAACAGTACAGGTTATCCTCATCTATCATCTTGATATTGGACGACGATGATTGAGCTTTTATTGAGCACCATCCCGCAATACGTGTGGTTGGTGTCCATTTTATATATCACATCCATGTAGAGAGAGAGGACAGAAATAATATATATATGTATATATAATCCAGTATTTTTATATTCTTTATATGCAACAAGGCTATCAACACTGGAAAATTCAATTTAATTAGAATTCCTGTAACTTTCACTTTTTCTGTTTTTATTCTATCATTTTATATTATATGGTGCAGAGGAAGAAGAGAAATTAAAGATGATGAGAATTCCCACGACACCATGCAAAAATTCCAAGTGTATATATATGAAATAATCAAAATCATATTAATGTGACCTTCTGATGTGATTCGCACAAAAGTTAGAATTTTCTTCCCAAAGCTGAACTCCCCACTCGTGTTAATTGGACACGTTGTACAACTGAAAGAGACCTCATATCTCTTTAGTTCTTTATCTTCCTCTCGAGATTTTCCAGACTTATTTCTCACATGACTTGTTATAATCACGCGGTGCTACAAGTATCAGAATATAATTCGTATTAAAACTCTGTCAAAAAAGGGTTTCTTCTTTTAGATCCTCGGAATACAATGGGACAAGATCTGCCAATAATGAATAATCAATATATACTAAGTAGGTGCCATATCTGGGTAGTATATCTATAACATGCAAATTCAAAATCTTGTTGCTTTATGCTGCAGAGACATGAATGAGATATTCAATATGGGATGCTTTGAAATTCTCACACTTTGACTGAATGAACAGTGAGGGAAAGTCAAAAGCACCGTTTAATAGTTTTTCTGCACAGTTCACAGATTGAAACTGCTGCTTGCAAGGGCCTAGTAGCTATATGCGGACCTATGTATATATATGCATAGAGATTTTAAATGGGAAACAAAAGGTGGGAATAATAGAACGAAATATGAACTGTTAGAAAAGGGATCAAATAAGAAAAGGAAAAGGAGGAAAAGGGGATGAAGAAGAAGCACAAATTCACATGGCAAGAGAAATGACAAGAGCGGATCTCATAGAGAGACATGTGAAGCAGTGGGGAGGGGGATGACCACATTTTTAATTGAATATCCAATGGGGTGGAGTGCATGTGCCTTTTCCTTCAATTCATTTATTCCTTTTCTGTTTTTTTATTTTTATTTTGAATAAATAAGGATGGAAATAGGACATTACTATTACTATCGCTACTATTATTTGTCTGTGTTTTCTTTTTTAATTTAAACAAATAATAGGCCTTAATCCTCTCCTTGATATGCTCAACACTCATCACACTAACAACTGCAGCAGTAAATACTTTACGGGATCTTCTCTACTCATTCACCTATCATTAACTATCCTTCCAACCTCATCCTTTTCTTTGGATTCACATGCATCTAGATGTATAAAATCAATATACTCCTCCGATCTAATTATTGAGTTAATTTTAGTCCTAAATATAAGACCCATTTTTTATGTTTATCAATTTTCTCTAAATTACCCTTATAAATACTCCCTGAATTATAATCAAATAGAAGAGGGAGATGGGGTATTAAGAAAGATGATTATAGTGTTTTAGGAAAAACGTCACATTTCTTATAATTAACTAACTTACCTAACTTCCTTAATCTAATTAAATTAATTAAATGAGTCTTATATTAAGGATTAGAGGAGTCCCACAAGTTCTCCCGTCCCAAAAGTTAGGTGAATTTTGCAAGTACTGTCTTGATAAACATATAATACCATGTGAGTTTTCATCACCCGAAGAAAAAATTAACTACACACATCTATCTATCTATCTATTATTATTATGTGATCACAAAGAAAAAGGTTTTGGAAATGAGCATATCAGATATAGAATTTATGATGATTTTTCCTCTGTAAATAGCTTTCAATTAAAAACAGTTAAAACAGATACTTACCCAAGTAACTTAAAGCAGTAAAAAAAATTCTTGGCATTGCCATCTATAAAGATTTATTTAAAATTAAAGTATGTGCCACCTCCTCTCTCCTGGCTAATAAAATATTATCCAGCTCTAAATCTATAAAACAAAAATAAATGTAAGATGTTCACTTTTCCTGAAATCATTCAAATAGTGCCGCTTTTTAACTATTAATTAATTGCTTATTTGATTTTAGAGTTATTTTATTTTGCCCGTTCCAAGCCCTGGCCACAGCAGGGGATCCTGCCCCTGTTAAGTTTGGGGGTTTGTCTGTATGGGTTGTTCTCTTCTTAAATGCAAATGGGAGCGCAAGGGGCCTATATATATGCGCCCAGGTGCACGCTTCGACACAAAGATAAGCACCTTTCATCCTTTTCTACTACTCCGGAGAGGGTTCGTGTTTTTGAGTTCGAAGCATCAATGGCTATCTTCATTGCAACTATCTGTGTTTTCTTGGTGCTCTGTTTTTGCTCTGCGCTCTTGAGGTGGAATGAAGTTCGTTTCAGCAAGAAGGGTTTGCCTCCTGGCACCATGGGTTGGCCTGTCTTTGGAGAAACCACTGAGTTTCTCAAGCAAGGTCCAAGCTTCATGAAAAACCAGAGAGCAAGGTAACAAAACTACCTTATATAGGTCTTCTCATATTTAGGCCTGTTTTCCTCTGTTTATAGCCTATATTTTTCTAGGCCTAGCATCTCCCATTTGAACGGAACAGAGAAATTTGGCAGTTTAAGTCATGACAAGAAATGGGCTTTTTGGATTAGCCTCCGTTTCTGATCTAAGAGATACCAGTGTAAGTGATAATACCAGAAGATTTAATAAACGTTGAACGGAAAGTGAAGCCCCCAGGAAAGAAAAGAAGAAGAAAAATCTGCTTAAGAATGACACTTGCATAATGAATATATGCGTGTTTAAGTAGAAAAGGCGATTTAAATTAAACCTGGGGTGAGGTAAGCAAAAGTATAACTGTTGTTTCATGTACTTTTTTTTTTTTAACCTCCAGCGAGCAATGATTGTAATTTGTAACTTCATTTATCTTTTCACTTTTGTGAATGGCAGGTATGGCAGTTTTTTCAAATCCCACATACTGGGGTGTCCTACCATTGTGTCCATGGATGCAGAACTCAACAGATACATCCTAATGAATGAATCCAAAGGGCTCGTTCCAGGATACCCACAATCCATGTTAGATATCTTAGGCAAATGCAATATTGCAGCTGTTCATGGCTCCACTCACAAGTACATGCGAGGTGCTCTCTTATCCCTCATCAGCCCCACCATGATCAGAGATCAGCTTTTGCCTAAAATCGACCAGTTAATGAGAACCCACTTGAGCAATTGGGACAACAAAGTCATTAACATTCAAGACAAAACCAAAGAGGTTTGTTTTTGTCATTGATCAAATCTAAGAATCTAACAACTAATGAATATATTTCATTTTATGGAAAATGTTTCTTATGCAGAAAACCTCACTCTCTCGCTCTATTTTTCTGCAGATGGCCTTTCTGTCATCTTTGAAGCAAATTGCTGGCATTGAATCCAGCTCAACCTCTCGTCAATTCATGTCAGCGTTCTTCAAACTAGTTTTAGGAACACTATCTCTGCCTATTGACCTTCCTGGCTCCAATTATCGCCGTGGAATTCAGGTATGGTTGAATTGTTATCATTTTCTAAAAATTTTGATTTTCTGATGGAGTTGATAGAAAGTGAAGTTTGTTTTTGCCCCACCGTGTCTGGCAGGCAAGGAAGAACATTATAAGCATTCTGAATCAGCTGCTAGAGGAAAGAAGAGCTTCCCCAGAAACTCACCAAGACATGCTTGGATACTTGATGAGAAAAGATGATTGTAGATACAAATTAACTGACGAAGAAATCGTTGATCTGATCATTACCATTATATATTCTGGGTATGAAACTGTTTCAACCACGTCAATGATGGCCGTGAAGTACCTCCATGACCACCCAAAAGTTCTTGAAGAACTCAGAGTGAGTGCCAAAAGTCTTCTTACTTTCTATAAAGTTGGTTTCTTTACTCTCTTTCTTTCCTCTTTTGACCGAATGGAATAATTTTACAGAAAGAGCATTTCGCCATAAGAGAGAGGAAAAAGCCAGATGATCCAATCGACTGTAACGATCTCAAGTCAATGAAGTTTACCCGCGCGGTAAGAATCTTAGCTTTTTAGAACAAAATCGTTGAATTCTTTTCTTTTAAATCGAAAGATTCAATTGAAAATCTGACGTTGTCTGGTTTGGCAGGTTATATTTGAGACCTCGAGACTGGCCACAATAGTGAATGGGGTATTAAGGAAAACGACCAAGGACATGGAACTAAATGGTGGGTTTTCAAAACTTTCTATTGTGGTCTGATATAATAAATATGTATGATAGCTCTAGGTTCAGCTTCTGTGTATATTTATGGGCTCAAGGAGCTGTTTTTTTGACTCCTCAAGGCTACTTTGAGGTCACTTTCAAGACTACGTACTGTGTTGTTGCAGTAAAAAGAGAAGCAATGAAAGTTCAAATTTATCCCTAGGATAGTGATAATGCACATGGGCCTTACCCACCAGTTCAACAAAACCCACCACCATTTCACTGTCACACCACACGAGTTCTTTCCAAAAAAGAGAATTGATCCCACACAATCCTTATCTCTTGTAGCTTTACCATTTACTCGCTTTAATTTGTCATGAATGATACTGAACTCGAGCTTTATTCATGCTGTGTGGTTTCAGGATATTTGATTCCTAAAGGATGGAGGATTTATGTATATACCAGAGAGATCAATTATGACCCATGTCTGTATCCTGACCCGCTCACGTTCAACCCGTGGAGATGGCTGGTTCGTGTGAAACCTTGTCTCTTGCGTCAGAATTTTTCATGTCATATATCAGTTGAATGTAATGAATTGATGATCTTAGAACTTGAACTGGCAAATGCAGGAGGAGAAGAGTATAGAATCACAGAACTATTTCTTGATATTTGGGGGAGGAACGAGGCAGTGTCCAGGAAAAGAGCTGGGAATAGCAGAAATCTCAACTTTCTTGCACTATTTTGTTACGAGATACAGGTGATGAATTTGACCAAGTTTAACTAGTAACATGGAAAACGGTGTTTTGACTTGAACATGGTTTTAACGGAAAAGGTGATGTTGATTTTGGTTGCAGGTGGGAAGAAGTAGGAGGAGATAAACTAATGAAATTTCCCAGAGTGGAAGCACCAGACGGTCTGCGCATAAGAGTCTCATCCTACTGACTACACTTAGGCTCCTCTTTGTACAGTGTGAGATATAGTTATCAATAGCAGGGTTATTTTTGTATCATAGTTTTCAATCCGGTTAGAAAATGAATGAATGATATTAGAGTTTTTTTTTTTTCCTCCCGAAATATTCTTTTCCTTCAGCAAACAACATATCTTTCCCAAAGAGATATTTCAGTTTAAAGACGAGGATCACTATAAAATAACAATAGCATTATTGTTTTATTTTGGGCTAGCGTTATAGTAATTAAAATTAAACAAGGGAATCATATACGCTCTTGTAAATATGCAAGGATCTCTAAAAAGGCGAAGCAAAACAGAATTAATCATTTAAGGGAAATAAATTGAGTTGGATTTTTTTTTTAAGGTTAAGCTCAGGTATTTACTTTTACCGACTAATCCTTTTCCGCCGTAGGGGTCCCAAATGAGTTTTACTACTAATCATGAGATCTTACCTTATCCAACCCTGAGTAGATGCTTAAAACACTCAGTTAAATGTCAACTGTATTAAGCCTTGTGGTTAGTTGGATGTATTTTTTTTATCTTTTTTAATTATAGATACTGTTAAATATTAAATGTGAACATCTCTCGCATTACAGTGAGATCATAACCTGAGATTCTGATAAAAGTAAAATGCATTTAGGCGTGGGGGCCAAAATTATAGGCCTGGCCCATTACTTGTTGTAGGTGCAGCCCATGGGGGACCACCCTCAACCCATACTTAATGAAGTGGGCTGGCATGGCCTATCAATATGATGCTCAAATCGAGGACTGAATCTCGCAGGCCTACAATCTGGGCTAGGGTTTCTTAGGCCCATGTGTGGTCTCACCCTGCTCTGCGAAATTATTCTTTTTTACCGCTTGAGTTATTATTCATGAGTAATAAATAATGTAGTTTGGTATAGCTTTCATATTTGTGCTTCGCTTTACTCATTATAAGTGCTCAATCTGACTTTCTCCATACTCAATTTTGATAAATATACTCGTTCGGGTAATTTAAAACTGACTTTTATAAAACTAAATATTAACCCAAAATTGAATTTTGCAAATAGAATTAGAAGTTGCTTTCAGAAAATTGGATTTTACGAACTAATGAATGAATTCACTACAAAGGTCTTTATTTGTAATAAACCAGCGTGAATCTCATTTATCATACAAATATGAAAAGAGTCATTATTTACAAAGTATGAAAGTTTTTATTAATCACAATTTAAAATTGATTGAAGTCTTCCACTAACGGAGTAAAGGGTATTAGAAAATACTCCCTCCATCATTTATTACAAGAAATAATTACTAAAATCATATGGTTTAAAATGTTAATAAAATTTAGTTAAAAGTAATGTGTAAGATATATAGATATTTTTCTAATTATACCCTAATTTACAAAAAAAGTATATGAGAGATAATGAGTGAGAATTTATTGTACAGAGATAATAAATTGCATATATTTAATGGAGGTAAAAATAAAAAGACAAATTTAAAATTTAAGAAAAAGAGAATTTGTTTTTTTATTTTGAAAGGCACCTTTATAAGAGAGATTGTTTCTTATAAAAAAGTATGATGGAGTATGACGTTTAAGACTATGAGTCCTTCCGGTTAGGGCTAGCATCCCTTGTAGGGCCAGTACTCCTTTGATTTGTGAGATGTTTGACTTTTTCTGTGCTGATATTTAGCAAATTCATTGGCCAGCAGCAAAAAATGAATTCACCTCATAAAACATGATGGGCTTGTTTGGATTGATTTATAGGTAATTTTTTAAACATGATTTACAAAATACAAAATAAGTATGTGAAGAGATTTTTATCTCGATTTATGTGAACTTACTAAAAAATCTATTTTGAATGGAGTTTCAAACAAGCCAGATATGTGTGTGTGGATCCTGTTTTCTCCCCTCATGGTAGTATCAGAGTTGTTTTCAATGCTCTCACGAGGATTAATGATTTCCCCTAGAAAATTAAACAACGGTGAATTCTATATTTTTAAAATTTCAAACCTTCTTTAGGATGGTTTGCATTTTAAATCTCTACCTCTAATCCTCTTCACCCTTTACCCATTTGAGCTAATCTCATATTGCAACTTTATTATTTAATATAGATTTTTTTTTTGAAGCTATACAAATGTTAATTGTGATAACTACTGAGAAGAAAAGAACACGTGTGTATTATTACAGTATTGTGACGTTCACAAAAAGCATTAGCTTTGATACCAATTAGTACGAGTACGCATGGAAGAGAAGAAGAAGACGCGTGTGTATTATTTCTGAACTCATTTCGATAATTACATCTCAAGAGTATTTAGAACTAAATTCTTCAGTAACTAATATTCTATTTTACAGCTGTAACAAATACTAACACGTGTTACAATGAATATTTTCACTATAACATGTGTCAAAAAATATAAGACCCTAGAATGCCAATAGTCACCAGGATTATGAATTGAGCTTTATTAAAAAACAATTGCATTTTAGCAGAAGTAACGTTGAATGATCAGACAGGTTCTGCCCATAAACTTAAACACTTGACAATTTCTGGTCAAAAAAATAAAAATAATAAACCCTTGACAATTTTCTAGACTAGCATGGTGTTTTTTTCATGGGAGTTGATAAGCAACAAAATTTTGATCAGCTTTTGCACTTTCCCAATTTGATCTCTGCCCTAAGGCAATTTATAATAGGTTTATAACACATCAGATGGCCGACTTGGTTCTTTTCTCTTCAATCGTCGTAGATCGAATGTATAGTAAGCACTGACCAGCCAAGATCCACTCATGAATTGTGTAGTCAAAACTTTAGACTTCAAGAACCTGCACCCCCAATTGTTTGCCACAAGAAACTACTCATCTGATTTTTAATATAAGACCTATTTAATTAATTTGATTAGATTAGGAAAGTTAGGTAAGTTAGTTAATTATAAGAAACATGATATTTTTTCTAAAATACCATAATCATCTTCTTTAATATCTTTCTTTCCTCTTTTACTTGATTATGATTGAGAGAGTGTTTATAGGAGTAATTTGAGAAAAATTGATAAATATAATAAATAGGTCTTATATTTAGGATCAAAATCAACTCGATCATTAGATCTTATATTAAGGACTGAAGGAGTATATTATTATTCCATGTTTTGGAGCGCACATTCAAAAGGACCAAAAATATCACAACACAACTTCAAAATGTGGTAATAGTAAACTCCTAATCCCAAATTGCTAAACATCAGTCATATTTTAAGCCAGCGTAAAGAGTTGGAATATTAACTATATGAAACAACAGACAGAAAGTTACCTTAAATAAACAATAACATTTTCCATAGTACAACTTTCGTAACAAAAAGCTTCTAGATTTAATATCTAATTCAACAGGAAGTGCCTCAATATTGCCACAGCATTTTACAAAAAAACAGTTACTAATTAAAAGGCCCTCCTCTCTCCAACTGTTACTCCTCTCTTTATATACAGAATTTTGCTGGGATAGATTTGCTCACTTTGGTAACAAAAAATATAAAACTCCAAGACACCAAGATTGAGAAATAAATTTCAAGAAAGAACATCATTTGTGAACTTAATAATAAAAAAAATTAGATTGAATAATGTGATTAATATTTAGATTAAATTTCATAAATAAGTCAGTTTACAAAAATGAAGTTTTAATTATTATTGAAAAAATAAACTTAGTTGTGAAATGACCAAAAAAAGATATGAATTTTATCAAATCATATATGCTACCTCCCGATCCTAATTATAAAACCTCATTATAAAACTTCAAGTGTAAATTACAAACAGAATCTTGTAATTAAGACCAAAGGTAGTATAATTTATTCCTTCTTATTTACTATAATACTTTGTTAGATTTACTCATACATTTATCTTTTTCTTATTTATTATAAGAATATATTTGAGATCAAAAGTGTATTTATAACTTATTTATTATTTTCAATTAATTTTAATTAATTTTCTGTTATTTACAAATTAGCTATTTAAGGCTTATCGGAACAATAAGAACAGGAGAAAGTAGTAAATTCCTTAAAGATGATAACCAAATTTTTTTAGCTTCTCTCTCCGCTCTTTAGTTCTCCTCACAAACTCTAATTTTCTCTCTCTCCACGATTGAAAAATTATAAGCAGCAAATCTGTGCTTATGACTCATCGTGGCTTTTGATGTAAAAGCACAATTCCCCCATTGCAAATACAAACGATCGAATATCATCCATAGCATGATTTGTCATTTTCACTGCATAATTACCCATCGAAACGTCATCATAAACAGGCCCTAAGATGTGATATCTTCCATCTTCTGCTTCTTACTTTTCGGTTCTTCGTCTTCTTCCGGCTTGATCGCTCCATTAATTGCTGCTGGACCCAAAAGAGAGACATGCTTGCTAGTAATTTGACGTCCTGCCCTAAGCTTAGGACCCCAGTGCCTTTCAGGATTTGGTAGAAAGCGTGCAACCTTCTTAGCTTGTGCCTTGCTAAGAGATGCTACCGCTCGAGCAAAATTAGCCTAAAGGAAACATAGAAGTTTTACATTAGTCACTACAGGCCTGAATCACCTAATCCAAATTTTGTGCCCAAGACCGTGATGGCTGGACAGAGTCCCAAGTACCCAAAAAAAACCAATTAATGAAGTCCAAGCCCCTGCATGCCCTAATATGAACTAGTTATAAACATGATAGCTAAAAAATAACGGATTTCAGACCTCTGCTGAGCAACAGATATTTTTCTTCCTCAAAAGCACAGCATAATTGGCACCCAAAAGCATAGGACAAAGGGAAAAGGGGAAAGAGAGAAGCGCATAGCCTGTGTAGAAATAAAACATAATAGGCAAAATATACCTGAAGGACAGGTTCCTTTGCAAGTATGACACTTCCTGGTTGATCTGGAGGTTGAGCTTTCACAGGATGATTTTTCACCTATAGGAAAGAAAAAATCAGCAAATGAAAAATAAAAGGGCAAATGATTCTGAAATCTGTTACCAGACTATTCTGACATTCGGAAATTAGTCATCCAATTCATAAGTTGCCATACTATTAAAACATCAACACATCACACATTTTAATACAAGCAGAAACTCAGTCTGCAAGAACCAATACAGACTGTCAACATACTAAAAACAATCAATATATACATAATGAAGCAGTCCAGCAATTATATGTAAGCTCTCACCCAGCAGCGCATTATGTCCCAAACGACATCCATCGGTGCATCCGATTTAAGTCCCAATGGATTGACATGAGTTCCGGATATGCGATAGCCAGCATTGATGACAGCAGAGCGAAACATAACCGCCGATGGAGAAGTGCATTTAAGTGTCGAACAGAGGTTATGCAGACTAAGAAACAAAGGAACATCCGGCAATTCCTGAAAAGAGTAAAATTTATATATTTAAAAAAACTACATAAGCGAATTATTTCCAAGAAATAAATTTTTATAGGTATATCCAGAAAGTCGCAACGCTTGAAGATACAAATGTCACACAACTGGATCATACCATTACCTATTATATGAAATGTGTCAAAAGTTAAACATTAAACAAAAATAAACCTCTGATATTGTAGTCAAAACAGCAGATATACGCTCATAAGCCGGATATCGATCCTTCATAGATTTCACATCAGTCAGTATAGAAGCTACCCATTCCTGGTCATGGATAGGAGCTGACCATATGGGTCCACCCATATTGAATTTTTTTCCACAGTCGCTACATTCTTGAGGAACAGCAGGACCAAAGCCTGGCAGATATCTGACACTGCTATTCTGGAAATGGATGAAACAGAATTATCTTCAAGATTCTGACATTCAAATTAAACTCAATCAGACTAAGCAGTAAACTTAAAAAGACCAAAAGATTACAGCGTAAGAACTCTTCAAGAAATTTATTGATTGCTCAGTTCAGTTCTAGTTTTACCCAACTATTTCTGACGAGGATAATTAACTAAGATGAGCAAAAGATTGGCCAAGGCAAGATTTCCGGGATACTTCCAAACTCATTCTCACGTTTCGCTAACTCCCAACAATTTGAAAATCAAGTAACCCGCTGGCACTAGACACCTGATATGCAACTTAAAGCAATAAAAATAAATAATATATCGGAGATGATTACATTCTCTGGAGCCATGAAGCCTACAGGTAAATGAAGATGCAGAAAAATTAAGGAGAAGCTAAAAAAGAAAGAAAGCAAGATTTAAAAAAAAAAAAAAAAATTTTAACAACTTCTACATTAGTACTATCATTTCTATGCATGATATAGTGTTGCTGACAACGCCAGAATGATAGATGCAATGTTATCAAAAAACAAGCATTAAATTGGTTGAGGTACTGGCTCAAGGTTTATTGATGGGAACATGATTGAACCAATCATTATTAGATTATGTTAATGCTATATATAAAAAAATTAACTATTAGAAAGAAAAAAATCATTCATTCTTACATTTCTACATTGTCTAATGTGATATTTAATTCTAAATCATTGCATTAATTGTGTACTATTCAATATTAAACTAATAAAATAAGGTGTAAAATAAAGTAAAAAAATCACTGGGGAAGCTGAGTTATTTCTGATCCTGTCTGTCAGTAATAAGGCCGAAGCTTTGTATGATGCTGATGCAAAGTATTCCCAAAAAATTAATCAACCACAGCGCAGCTTACAGGCAAAAAGGCATGTTCAGTCACTCATACTGGATAGCCAAATAAACAAGCAAAAATAGCCAATCCATTGAAATTTGTACTGCCTAATTCACTGATGAAAACTTGAAAAGGCCAATAACCACCATATTCACAGATTATCTTAGAACAGCACACCAATGTGCCAGCCTATAATTAGAGGAACACAGGGGAAGTAAAGTAAAGATAAAGAAATTATGATTCTGAATAAATTTATTCATTCCCAAAACAAAATTTGAAAATTGGACTTTTTTATGCAATACATAAACAAGCAAATATGATTTAGTGCATATGAAATGATTACTGCAGCAAGCCCAGACATGATACACACCTTGGGCACGGTCCTCCCAAGGGACTGTAGGTGAAAGGAATCACAGCCAGTGCACTGATAAACATATGAAAGCTTCAATGGCGTATTTTTCATTGCACTTGCAGAACTGCAACCAATTATTTCAACTTTCAGTTGGAAGCAAAGAAGCATCACTTTGCAAATATACAAACAGTAATTAACATTTAACAAAGTTCACAAGGCAGAAGAATTAAGAGGATTTACGTGTATATGCGAACAAAAACACGAACATAGAAGTCCATCTGAACAGATAGCACAGGAACAATATACCGCTTGTAACGATTAGCATGACTCTGCATGTCATGGAAAATAAATAGTTATAAGCATGCTACAGAGAATTGGGGGGAATACAATGCCCATACATCAACAATCAATGAATGATCAAGCTAACTCAGTTACACAGAAAATTGCCTTTCAGGAAAATGAGTATCATTTGCACTATAAGATAATATAGAATTTTGAAGTTTGTTAAATGTACTATGGATATTTGAGATATTTCTCAAATTATATATACTGAGTAGACAATTGACTGATAAGGTCACCCCAAACTTCCTTTTCTTATTTCTTTTCCTTTTGGAATCATCTAACTTCCTTCAAATTCAAACATATTTGATTCTTATCAAAAGAGATATAAGCATAAGCATTATGTGCATACCTCAATGGAGGCTAGAAGGATCCTCAAAGCCATTTCGTGGCAATATTTCCCTCTCAGTGGATATGATCCATACCTAGTATCAATAGCAGTTGCAAGCAGTTCAGTTTTACCAACCAAACTATTATAGTGCAAGAGATCAAAACCAATAAGATCATTAACCTTACTTTGAATAGCAGACCTCTCCATTGCCCCCGCAGAGTACTGCCATATCTGTTGCAGTGCACATCAGCATACCTCCATCAACTACAGATTGGACTACTGAATCCAGAAAAACAGAAGGCGCACCATAAGGATCAAGATCAACCTGACAAAGTAAAACACAGAACAAACAAAGGTGACTAATTTGAAAGAAATATATAAAAAGTCTATTTGAACAAGATAGAATGACAACAAACAATGTTTCAGTTATCATCACTGGGTAACAAGTGATGGAGGTGGACCCTTACACTCTCAAGTTCTTTTCTTCAAATAAAAGGGTGAATATAGGCACATAATAGCAACATTGACATACCACATCAAATTCTTTAGGGTGGGTTAACATATATACACGAGCATCCGCGTGATGGGACTCCACTTTTGAACATGCAACTGAACCATTGAATTTGATGTTCCTTCTACAAGCTTCAACAGAAGCTACCCAATGGGGAAAAAAAAAACAGAAAAGAAAAGAAAGAAAAGAAGTCTGCATAAGTTGATATGCATAGGGTAGATAGTGAAATGCAAAAGCACCTATCTCTTAGACAGTAGGATGCCATTTTTAGTTTATAAATTCGCAAATGAATAGCCCAACCCACAACACTGGCGAGCTTTCAACAAATATCATATATGATTTGTCCTTGCATTTGTATGTGAGGGAAAAAATGGGTGAAGCACCTTTGTCGTTGTCCAGGGCCACAACCTGACCAATCCCTTCTATTTCACGGGCATATCTAAGAGCCCTTAATCCAGAAGCAGACAGTGCCTGTGACAGACAACCAAAAGTACACACAATATTAGTTCTGAATTTGCATCTGCAGAAGGCATTTCAAAATCATAGACATAGAACGGATAGTGGTGATGAGTATAAGGAAACTGAAAATTGTAGAAAACCTCAAGAACTCTAGGCGGCTTCAGTTCCCTCACTCCTTTTCCTTCCGTAATATTGATTGACTTTCCTGTCTCGCTGCATCCTTCAATGTTCTCGCTCAACTCTTCTGTCGTGTTGCATGCTTCGCTGATCTTGACGGATTCTTCGGTGGTCGTACTTGAATCCTCAGGAGATTTCTCTTCATCTGCTCCACATTCCCCATTAGATTTTTTATCATCTTGCCCAGCTTTAGATGGAACTTCCTCCATAGCAGATTCAGAAGAATCTTTTTCTGATATCCTCTGAGATGATTTTGTTCTCTTAGATAACCATGCTTCATGCTCTTGCTTACGCTTTGATATAAAAGTTCTCAAAACAGCAATCGATATATCCCTATTGTTAACCTGGAAATTATGCAATTCGATTAGTATGCTGACAATCAGTCCAAAGTGCAACGAACCATTTAATTCCAGTGAAAACGTTGATTCATTTGATCCCTACAAGTTTTCACTTACAAACTTGACTTCAATGAACCAGGAAAACCAAAAAAGAAGCAAACTTTACACCTGTGTTTTATTAAAGAATACTTCATTTTTGGCGTGCATAAGAATTTCAGCTTCCCCTTCCTTGATAATGGTATAATCACTGAGATCTGTGGCCATTGTTTTCGCCTATAGCATGTAGAAGCAACTTCACAACTTGATGTTTGATTTTGGAAAGCGGGGGCAGTTAACGTTTCGCACCCGGCGCAAATTGTGGTTCGTGCAACAGGAAGAAGGGAAGTGGAATCCATGAGACCTGTCAATGCTTTTCCTTAAACCCTAACGGGCCTAACTGCAACCAATACGACGCCGTTGGAGGACTCCATTATGACTATATATTTATTTATTTTTCCCCAACTCATGGCTTTGTATTTAACTTGTGCTCAACTTTGACCAAAAAAAAAAAAACTTGTGCTCAACTGCAACAAATGGATTATTGAAAAACATCTTATCTATTAATTCAATTGCCTATATGATTTCTTATATTCTTATTAATATTTTTTAATTAAAATATGATAATTATTTTAATACTTATGAAAAATAACACACGTCATGAAATCACTGGCTATGCTTCTAATTATTTATGTAGGTTTATTTCATTTAAACATTAGGGTTAAAATTTAACAACCATGCTATAAACACGAGTTCTCCTTATTAGTAATTGAAAATGTAATTTAGAAACTCGAATATCAAATTATAAAAGCCTGCTTTACAGAAAGACTTTTACCAGTAAACCTATTAAGCTCACTTATTAAAGAAGAAATGGGTAAAAACAACAAAACACGAAAGCTTTAAGAACAAAAGTAAAGCCAATTGAAGTTATCTAACATTTCATAAAATCAAAATAAAATTTTTGTGGTTTCTTGATATTTATTTATATGTAAAAGCTGAAATCTTAATATGAAATTTTGTTTCGACTTAATTTTTTATTTTAATTTATGATAAATATTATTATGCCATATACAGTAGTCAACTTCTAATCCACTCATTTCATTTTAATTCCATATCAAGTTCTGAATTAAATGTTTTAATTCGTGGTGTTTGAAATCTTATAATAATTTATTTTTAAATACTCTGCCATTTAATCCTGCATTATCTATCTATTGGTAGATAAAAGCTGACTTCAAGTGTTAAATTAATCAGCCTTAATGTGCAATTAATTTGAACTTTGATAAGTAATCATTAAATGAATAGTAGTCACTAGTCACGGTAAATATTGACATTAAATGAATAGTAGTCACTAGTCACGGTAAATATTGACAATAGACTCCAGGTAGAATCATATCAAATATTTTTAATGGAGTTTTTGAATCGCAACAAGTCATAACTGGCCCCCCTTAAAGTTTCTCAATTACTCCTCTAATCATTAATATAAGACCTATTTAACTAATTTGATTAGATTAAGAAAGTTAGATAAATCAGTTAACTATAAGAAATATGACATATTTTTTTTCTAAAATATGATAATTATTTTTCTTAATATCTTTCCTTTCTCTTCTGCTTAATTGTGGTTGAGAGAGTATCCATAGGGGTAATTTAAAAAAAACTGACAAATATAAAAAATAGATCTTATATTTAAAACTAAAATTAAATCAATGATTAGGTCCTATATTAAGAACCGGAGGAGTAATTAATTTAAATTAACAAGTGCTTATATATCTGATTTCACCATATACTCGGAATTATAATTCGGAACCATAATTTCGAATTGATTTGAATTATATTTGGCAGTAATAATTTGTTATGATTTATTTTTATGTACATATATTTTTCGAAACACTGGAAATTTTATAATCCGTTTTTGTCTCTTTTATTATCTGCAACTGTCAGACATGGTTTCCCTATTTTTCTCTCCCATGATCATAATTCTCAACCTACTTGCTTTTTCTCTCGTTATCTCAATAATCATAATCATAAGTATTTATTTTGATGTGTGAAATATTTAAATTTTATAACTGCACTTTCCCTATTTTCTCGCCCATTATCGTCTCACTCATCTCTAAATTCTCTCCCTCGCGATATTTTAAATTCTCAATCCAACCTCATAGACTTATATCCCAACGCCATTCTTCATCACTCTTCACTTCAGCTATCCAGAAGAGGGATTTGTCCGGTTGAGTTCCGTCACGGTTTGTCTTCTTCACTCTAGTTTCCAGATTTTTGATCATTTCTTTAGCTTTCTACTACAGAACTGATGATTTAACAGAGCTTTTACTTTTGATAGATAGAAGAAATTTTGGTGACTTCGTTGCTTTTTTAAATCAGTAATATAAAGAATGGATATTCAATGCTTGCACTTTGGGGTAAAGATTGGTCGGCCTAAGCACTGAGTGACTGAGCAATTTGATCAAAAGAAAAAGCAATGTTCTCCTCTTTTCCAGGTCTTTTATTATATTATCTTGTCTTAAATTTATGTCCCTTCTCATTTGTATCTGAAAAATGGTCGGATGTTGTCAAAACATTTAAATGTAAATGTTTCAGCAATGATTATAGCTGTGGAGATTAACTTGAAAGAAGAGATCAGCAATGAATTCCTCAGATTCTTCAGCTGGTGAGCTATGACACTGACGACACTACTGAGTTTGTCTCCTTGTTCATTTGGAACGTAAGCCATTCTGCAGAAAATAGTGCAGCCATCAAAGATAGAAAAATGGGTTTCTGGTGAACTGATCTGAACCGTGTGACACATGAGGGATTATGCAAATATTGAATTAATAATTGACTTGTGAGTTCCATTGCAGCTTGATGAATATTAGCTGAAAAGTGTAAATAAATTACTAACGTTGATTTGAGTTCTGGTTTTCTAAACTGTAGCAGAGCATGGGAGATCTCCCTTGGCAAATGAACATGAAAAAGGATCAGTGGATGACATTTAAAGCTTAAGTATTGCGTCGATAATATTAGTATACTTGTTCTTTGAGAGCAATACGAATCTTCCAAATTTTATGTTTTTCTACTGGTCATGAAACTGTTATTAGAAACTCTCGCTTGAAATGATTCGAATTCCCCTGCTCCAACACAGATCTAGATATATACAAATTACCTACTCAGTACTGACCACGCGGGAAAAAAATATTACTTCTAATTTTTAATATAAAAATTGGTTGACTAATTTGAGTAGATTAATAAAATTATTTTAGTTTTTTGTAATAAATAAATGTTATCTTTTGTAAAATATCTTTTGTTAATTAAGTGTATTAGCTAGAACTACTGTTACTATAAATATTGCCTTAAAAAAATGGATAAATATGATAGACAAAGTAAATTGAGGTTTTATATTTAGAGTCAAAATAAAAATAAGGCTAACTTTTATATTAAGGAATGGGGGTAGTAGTTAATAATATTGGAAAACAAAACACTTAATGGCAGCTTCAACAAGTTCTAGTTCAGGCTTTTAGATCACTTAAGTGCCTGTTTGGAAGGGCTTAAGAAATCTTCTATAAGCACGTTTCACGTAAGCCAAAACAAAACTCTTCTCATATATTTACTTTGTATTCTGTAAATCACTATTGACAAACTACTTATAAATTGTTCCAAATGAGTCCTAAAACAGTATGTAAGCAGTTGAACGCTCATTTGTGACTGTGATTGATCAGAGAAAGGGATCTCTGTTTGATGCTAGGAGGTGCTCTTGCCATGAATCTCATTTTGATAGTTCAGATTTATTATTTTTTCTAATTAATAAGTTAATAGAAAGTCAATATTATTTTACATCCTATTTTCAATGAAATTTTTTTAAAAATTTAGTTTAAAAATAACACTATAAATTACTTGAATTAAACCCTAAGCGATCCAAATAAAACATGTACATAATCTTAGAAACGTGCACCAAAGTCTAATTGGTCGGAAAGTGAGAGTATTCATACCATTATATAGATAGCGTTTTTCCAGCACAACCAGTCGATTTGTTTAGATCATAAGGGTGTTTTCTATTAGATTAGTTTCTTTCGGGATATAAAATTAAACGGAATATCTTGTTCAAGTCAAAAGAATTGTGCAGAAGCTTCTCCCCAAAAAGAAGATAAATTCAATTCACCCTTTGTGTTATTTTCTACACCCATATTCTGTTATTTTCATCTTCCTTCAAATGCACATAATGTGAAGGCTATTCGAGGAATTTTACTTTGAAAGCATTCAAAAACGTTGTATAGATGCTTAGCTGCCGTTGGAAGGTCCGTTTTCTGTCAGAAAATTACTCGCCATCTGTAGCTGTGACGGTGCTTGCTTCTGCTTTCTCCAAACTCATATGCCTCTGACACTCTACGTGGAAAGTGGATTCAAAAGCAGGGCCATCACGAGTACGTCCATAACCAGACATTTTTATTACCTCTCATGCCTAACCATTCAATTCGTTGTCACATTCCAGTCTTTCTCGGCAAAGAATTTACCCAGCGGGAAATTCCTACAGATATCAGTTTTCTATTCAAAACCAGGATAAGGAAAGAGAAAGCACAAGAAAATGACATAATAACTGTGGGTAATTTACTTATTTGAATGATTGATCATTTTCATTCCTTGATCGAAGTGGAGATGTATCATAACTAATAAGTAGTTCCATTTGATATATGAATGACTACCAACAACAGGGGATAATCTGGTAATTTCATCAACACGCCTTCCCGTTCAAACAGAACAGCTGAAGTGTTGTGTTCACTCGAAATTTCCCGCCTTTTCTGGTACATTCCATTGGCTGTTGCTTTAAGATATGGGAAGTGATGCAGAGATTCAAGTATGAGACAGTGATGGATTTAAAGATGAGAAGGTACCCAACAACCAACTATTAGGTAGGCCATCAAAAGAAATCCCAAGAAATTTCCCAGCACCGCTCTTTTTCTGCATTGCCACACATCCAATGCCACATAGCATTTGAGTGCTAAGACATCCCTTGATCCCAACAAATTCTGAAAGTTCCAAACTTAGTGCAAGAAACTTGGCTAACTTGGAGCTGAACACTTTCAAAACCACAACTATCATGAAACTTATCATCTTAGCTCTCTGTGTTCTAGTGCTTTTCTCCTTTTCAGGTGACATAACAAGGCTATTCTTTTCACTGGTTTTGATTCACCATCATGTACATATTCTAATAATATGTTGATGTCTTTGTTTTCTTGTAGATGCTTATGATCCTCTGGATCCAAATGGCAACATAACGATCAAATGGGATGTCATGTCCTGGACCCCAGATGGCTATGTTGTAAGTATAATCGTACAATGTCAATATTGAACCAATCAGTCAGATAACTCTCTCTTGAATGCAACCTCTGAAATAAACTAAATCTGGCTAATGCATGTTTTAATCAGGCTGTGGTGACACTCCACAATTTCCAAATGTTTCGGCATATCATGAATCCTGGGTGGACGCTAGGATGGACATGGGCTAAGAAAGAGGTAATATGGACCATGATAGGGGCTCAAACCACAGAACAAGGAGACTGCTCAAAGTTTAAGGGCAATGTGCCTCATTGCTGCAAGAAAACTCCCACCGTCGTGGACTTGCTTCCTGGTGTGCCTTACAACCAGCAATTCACAAACTGTTGTAAGGGTGGAGTTGTGGCTGCGTGGGGCCAAGATCCTTCAGCATCTATCTCTTCCTTCCAAGTAAGCGTAGGACAAGCAGGTACTTCAAACAAAACAGTTAAACTCCCCAAGAATTTCACTCTCCTGGCCCCAGGACCGGGCTATACTTGTGGCCCTGCCAAAATTGTCCCTTCCACCAATTTCCTTACACCTGACAAGCGCAGGAAGACTCAGGCACTGAGTAAGTTCTCTTTGCACTATCAACTTCCGGATGTTATTGGGTAAACTTGGTTTGCAAGTATCTGCAACTTTAATCTGTTTCATTCTGTGCAGTGACATGGAATGTAACATGCACTTACTCACAATTTTTGGCAAGAAAGAACCCAAGTTGTTGTGTCTCGTTGTCATCCTTCTACAATGATACCATCACGGCCTGCCCCTCTTGCGCATGTGGCTGCCAGAACAAGAAGAACTGTGTAAAGTAAGTTTAAAAATTTCTTCTCGTTTGCCTCTTCATATATATGTATGTGTGTTTGTAACATGCAGAGAACATGATCCGAGTTTCCCTTTATTCAATCACAGGAGTGACTCCAAAATTCTCAGCATGGTGGGAGCACACACTCCTAGGAAAGACGATGAACCGCTGCTACAGTGTACTCACCACATGTGCCCAATCAGGGTACATTGGCATGTGAAGATCAACTATAAGGACTATTGGCGAGTAAAGATTGCCATAACAAATTTCAATTACAGGATGAACTACTCACTTTGGACCCTTGCAATTCAGCACCCAAATCTTAACAACATCACCCAAGTTTTCAGTTTCAATTACAAGCCTCTGGCAGCCTACGAGTCCATAAGTGAGTGCCAACACTCTGTTTAAATTGTTCAGCTTATCCGAAATTTCTACATGATTTACTCAAGCGTATTCTAATTTCGTACGCAGATGATACTGGTATGTTTTATGGCATGAAGTACTACAATGATCTACTAATGGAGGCCGGACCAGCCGGCAATGTTCAGTCAGAGGTACTTATGCAGAAGGACAAGGATACTTTCACCTTGAAGCAGGGTTGGGCATTTCCTCGCAAGGTCTATTTTAATGGTGATGAATGCATGCTGCCTCCACCTGATAAATACCCATTTCTGCCCAATTCTGCTCCCGTAACTATACTCAATTTCCCTTCATTCATATTATCATTGCTTTTCCTGCTAGTTGTTTGGTGATTTGGCATACAAAGTTGGTTTTGATCTGTGCGATTTTGGTAGCTGAGTATCCTTGTTCTGATGAAAGAACAGAACAGGCATACTGCATCATCATTATTTGGCAGCAAGCTTGTGTTCTTTTGTGATACATGAGCAGTGAAATGTTCCAACAATGACTTAATTCGAATCATGACTTGAATTGACATTATCAATACGTCTTTTTTCTTATCCTATCTAAACTAATGACTTGCATTCGACGCTATGAATACTTCATCTTTTTATTCTGGTTTTGACCCTTTACCCGAGAAATGCAGAAGATAGCCTGACGCTGCAAATCCAATTATAAATCAAATCCATCTAAAATAATCGAAAATAAATAAATAGGCAGTGAATTGTACGAAGAACAACAAATACAAACGATTAAAGTGTATCTCTCCGTGAGACATGTTCCTGTATATATTATTATAATTACAATTACAATTTCATTTACAACAAGGACCAAAATACGGTACGGTATCATTACATTAAATCAGACAGATATAACAATACATCAGAACCCTTGTTGAAACTGAGCAGCAAAACATAAGACACCTGAGCTAGTTCTCAAAAATGATCTGGTCGAAATGAGAGTAGCGTGTAACACGGCAGGAACTTCAAGCAAATGTGTAGAAGACCAAGGCTACCAAGCAAGATATCATTAAGGTGAGCAGGGAAACTCCTTGCCGGGAACCAGCATTGGGCAACCAAGGGTATGAATCTGGTGGTGGCATCACACAATTGTCACCATTGAAATAGATCCTTCGAGGAAAAGCCCAGCCCTTCTCGAAAGTGAAAGTGGATTTATCCTTTCGAAAAAGTAGCTCTGACTGTACATTACCAGAACGGCCAGCTTCGTTTAGAAAATCATTGTAGAACTTAATTCCCCATAGCATTGCTGTATCATCTGTTTAAAGCAACTTTAGTTAGTTACTCCCTCACTCAATTCATGGAAGAAAGGACTAAACACAGATGTTATATGGTAACCTAATCAAAAACTTTTCAAGCTCATGCTGCAATGTGACCAGAAAAAAAATGAACATCTTAAAGAGATTTACTCCGCCTCAAATTTAAGAACCTATTTATTGTCCTTCTATCTGAGGCCATGTAACAGATATGACAGAAACATAAACCATTGCTGTAAATCTATACAGTATTTTCAATTAAGCAGCTTTCAAACTGAACATTATTTCTAACTAGCTAGTTTAAATTCATATTCATACATAGTTCCTGTCAGAAACATAGCAGGAAAAATGCATAAAAACGATGGCAGGGAAAATGCAAAGGAACAATACCATTCGAAATGACTTACTTATTACTCCGTATGGAGTTAATCCTTTGTAGTTGAAACTGAAAAGTTGGGTCAGATTGTCAAGGTTTGGGTGTTGAACAACCAAGTTCCAATCAGAATAATTCATCCTGTGGTTAAAATTGGTAATAGTGATCTTAACACGCCAGTACTCCTTGTAGTTAACCTTAACATGCCAGTGGACTCGGATGGGGCACATATGACTAGTACATTGAAGCACAGGTGCCAAGCCATTTTTCCCAGCAACAACTGATTCCAAATGGGGTGAATCCGGCCTGGAAGCACATAGAGAAGATAATGTCATAATATAATCACCAGATCAGTTTAGAAGCAATCATAATGTTCTGGTTGATGAAACTTACTCTACACAAGTAGATGAGTTGCCCCGACAGCCACATGAACATGTTGGGCAGGGAACGATAGTATCATTATAGAAAGAAGAGAGGGAGACACAACAAGTCGGAGTTTTCTGAGCTAGAAATTGTGAATACGTACATGTTACGTTCCATGTCACTGCAATATACCAAAATAACACTAAGTTCAGATTTAAGAGATATTGCTTGGGTCTTGCCAAGATACAATGAAAAAACAAGTAATTTCAAAAGTTCTCATTTCATAGTTTACATAGAATTAGACACAAGAAAGCACATGATGGCGACAGAAGTTAAAACTTTTGGATGATAAATGGTTAAAATATGAAGTGAAGGTGGGAGACAGCATTCAGATTGTTAAAAGTGAAATTGAATATAGAAGTTTAACAACTTACTGAGTGCTTGTGTTACTCTCCTTTTGTCTGGCTGTATGAATTGAGTGGGTTTCACAATTTTTCCTGGCCCACAAGTATAACCTGGTCCTGGTGCATTCAGGGTGAAGTTTTTGGGCACCTTGACTGTTTTGTTAGTGGTTCCAGCTCTTCCAACACTTACCTGAAATGAAGCAACCGCATTGGGTGGATCCTGTGCCCATGAGCTGAGAACCCCACCTTTGCAGCAATTTGCAATTTGCTGATTGTAAGGTGTTCCTGGAAGTAAATCAACAATCGTTGGGTTCTTTTTACAACAATGTGGGGGGTTTCCCTTAAATTTTGAACAGTCCCCTTGTTCAGTGGCCTGTGCTCCCATCATGCTCCATATCACCTCCTTCTTTGCCCATGTCCAACCTAAAGTCCACCCCGGTGTTGCAATGTGACGATATTGTTGGAAGTTGTGCATAGTAACTACAGCCTGTACATTCAATTGATTTTTTAGGTAGGTATCTATAGAATTAGAAGGACAAAAAATAAATCAATATGAAAAGACTGCAAGCCACAAATTTATAAATAGTCATTGATGCACTTAAATTTATTAAAACAAATCTGAATCTTGATTGCAAGCTTTAAATCTTGAGAAGAGGCTCTGAAGTGTGATTTGAAATTTAAACTGTATACAGTTTCTAATTGGGCCGATTTTTTTTATACAAACCCTTTCAGCAATTAATATTGAATCCATGCAAGCATGATCTATTACAGATCAGGAAAGTTGTGCACAATTTATGGAGGGAAAAAGAGCCAAACAAATTTTAATGCTGTGTCTTGTCTCAGAGAGGCTTTCACTGCCGATAATAGTAGATGATAAAGTAAAACAAAGTACGTACAACATAACCATCAGGGGTCCAGCTGATGATATCCCATTTGATTGTGATATTTCCATTCGGGTCAAGCGCATCATAAGCTTCTGAAAGATAAACAACCAACCAAAAAATAAAGTGTAAATGAATAGAATATTTTAACATGCCAGGCATTGAGTGGCAATGATAAGAATGAAAAATGAAAATGTGCAATACAAGCTATAGGAGACACAACACTTTTGTGCAAGTCGATGGACGATTTGTGAAACTAACTTCAATTTCTACATCATGCAACTTTCCTAGAAATTCGAATACATATTTCAATACGATGACGACACTTTAACATCCAATAAACCGTATAGCCGCCGTCGACTTCAGTCATCATCCTGCGTGGTTGACTGATTCTGATGATAAAGGATCGGCACTACTCACACAACTTAAACAGAGGAAAGAATTTCGTAAATGAATTATCCCATCCCAATTAGAAAAAAGCTCAAAAACCAACCATTATTCTGTAGCAACCGATTTCTAATGTCGGACTTCATAGATCTTAAGGACAGATGTTCGTGTTTTACTTGTCACTTCACTAAGAAAATCAAGATACTGATGCTTAACTAATTTACATTCATGCAACTTTATTTAGTTTCAATAAAAGAGCTAACCAGACCCGACTGCTGCCAACAAAAATCAAAATATTAAATTTCATCCATTTCGTTGTTCTATAACTAAATTTCAACTCAGTAAATAAACAAGCGCAGAACGGATTCTCTGTTGCGGGCATCGATAAAGACACCACAAGTTAATAAATGAGCAAGACTTCCCGATTGAAGAACAAAGAATGCGAACGCAAATCAACAGAGCGTAAGTTCCACGCACCAAGAAACGAAGTCTACCTTAAACGGAAACAACTTTCCAGCTAAAGATAATAGTCAGTCTATTCAAGAAAATTCCAAAACTTAAACTGAAAAATAAAGAACAATGAGCAAACCTGTAGAAGGGAAGAAAGAGCAAGTGAGTAGGAACAAAAATAGAATGCCGGAGCTCGCTTTCGAGAGGGATCTGATTATGGGTATCAAACAGAAACCCATTTTCTTGCGGCCGATGTGATATCGGACCCTGAGACTCCGAGTTTCCGCCTGATCAGTTCAAGATCTATGGAAACCAGAGGAAAGAAGCCGAAAGGAGAAAGAGAGAATGACCCAACAAAGAAGTAAGAGCGTGCGCGTGTGTGGAAGAAAATAACACGGAGTTAAGTGACCGCTTTGTTCCAGTTGGCTCGCCACGGATAAGAATAAATAACTAAAGCGATTGATGGAAAAAAAAAAGGGGGTCATCATGTGGGCATTGCCATGATTTTTTTTTGTTTAACCTTTAAACCAGATTCAGATTTAGATTAGGCGTACTTGCGACGAAATCAAAAGTAAAATCATGCCTTCCACTGAGAAAGAGAAAAAAAAAAAAGAATCAATAAAATCATGCCAGCAATTCAGTTGCAATAATGTAGCTAATAACCGACACCTTCATAATCATAAGTAATTTATACTTGATTTCTATGAATGTTTATGGCATTAAATTAAACTCATTCTGGTTATAAAAAAAAAAAAAAGAATCCCGCATTTTTATTTCTTAGAAAATAAAATCACCTTTTTAAATCTGTTTTATGTTATAGAGAAGATTTTGTACCAATATTAGTATTCAATCCAAACCATTACCCCTTTTTATGCCGTCAAAATTGCCCCTTATTTCCACATTGTTTATTTATTTTGGTTGTATTATGTTATATTATTGACCAATGAGAGCATGTCGGAGCAGATAATTTAACTCTCGCTTTTTTTACTTTTCTTATAACAGACGAAAATTATAATGCAGATATAATAATTATTATAATGATATAAAATCAGAACATAATATATTAAAATAGATATAATGAGTAAATAATGATTGTTATGTGATTTGTGTTTTGGGGGGGCAGTTGGTGAATAGGGTTTTCAAGGAATGAAATGCTTGTGCTTGTACCAAACGGCGCAGGTCGTAGTCGGCGAAGAGGCAGGACAGAGAAGAACCAGCTCATCTCACTAATAATTTAGCGAGCTCTATATTTGACCTCTTCTTTTAACTCACACAAGCCATCTTCAGACTTGAGCTTTCTTGTTGGCTCATTCTTGTCCTTCTAACTACATCACATTAAAAAGTAGGAAATCCCTGTCGGTGCTCATTAATCAATTCCAATTCTATTGTTTTCCTTCTCTATTTTACTTCCAATAGAAACAGTACTTTTTACATTATAGATTTATTTTTATTTCATCCTTAATACTATCTCTTATCCTAATTATAAGATCTCGTTTGTAGTTTATAAAATAGTCTATAAACGAGATCTTATAGTTAAAATCGGAGATAGTAGTATATACATATAAAGGGTTTAATATATGTCACGGTCAGTTCCCCATGAAATTTTCATAATGCATTGTCCGTGTAGAGAGGATCGGACTTTAGAGCCTGCCGACACTTCCACACTCGTGTTATGACGTTTGTGGTGGTTAAGGGAGGAGGCGTGGACCAAGACTTTCGAGTTTATACACTGTGCACTCTAATAATTTAGGTATAATTAATTGTTCTTTTTCTAATTTTTAAAAAAGTTATGATGCACGTTAAATGCTTAAAAAAATATAAAACCGCATCATATCGCTATCAAGTTATTTGTAAACTTCTTTATGTGTGCCTCCATTAGTTCATGTATTCGGTGTGCTTGATCACAAGCATATTATACATTGCATGTTTTTCTCCTCTCTCTATGTGTGTATATATTATTTTTTGGAATTGAAATTCTTATTATATATAATTCAAATTGTTTTGTTTGATAAAATTTTCCTATCAAGGGTTTATTTCTGGGAGAATTTTAATTGTTAATAACGTAAATCCAGTTCATTTGAGAAAAAATTTAGTTATTAATTAATTTATTAAGAAGCATTTGCTCATAAGGCTCAATAGGCAGTTGGCAATCATTCATAATTTGAGATGTACTCATTAGTCATTACAGACATAAGCAGAGCTATTATTTGAGTAAAGTTTAAGCCTCAATTTGAGAAATGGCATTGGGCACCACAGGGTATGCATCTGGTGGCGGCATCACACAGCTGTCACCGTTGAAATAGATCCTCCGAGGAAAAGCCCAGCCCTTCTTGAAACTAAAGGTTGATCTATGCTTTCCAAAAAGTAGCTCAGATTGTACATTACCAGAGGGCCCAGCATGGTTAAGAACATCATTGTAAAACTTAATTCCCCAGAGCATTCCTGTATCATCTGGTCAAAAGCATGCAACTTGTTAGAACTCAAACTCATATGCACAGTTCCTGTCAGAAACATAGCAGGAAAATTCATAGAAACAATCTCATTCAAAATATAACTTACTGATTGCTCTGTCTGATGATAACCCCTTGTAGTCGAAACCGAAAAGTTGGATCAGATTGTCAAAGTTGGGGTGTTGAACAGCCAAGTTCCAGTCAGAATAATTCATCCTGTGATTAAAATTGGTAATAGTGATCTTAACTCGCCAGTACTCCTTGTAGTTAGCCTTAACATGCCAGCGGACTTGGATGGGACACATATGGTTAGTACATTGAACCGAAGGTGTCAAGTGAGTTGAACCTGACCTGGAACCACATAAAGAAAATACATGTCAAAACATAATCTCCAGAGTCCAGATCAGTTTGGAAGCAATCATAGTTTCCTACTTGATGAAAACTTACTCTGCACAGCTAGATGATTTGCCCCGGCAACCACATGAACACGTTGGGCAGGGTACGATAGTATCATTATAGAAAGAAGAGAGGGAGACACAGCAAGTAGGTGTCTTATGAGCTAGATATTGTGAATACGTACATATCACATTCCATGTCACTGCAATATACCAGGACAGTGCCAAGTTTAAATTCAAGAGATGTTGCTCAGATCTTGCCAATATATGCTAAAAAAGCATGTCTTACTCATAATGCTATGATATCGTTTGATTAGATGTGAGTAGTCTAGCATATTATAAAGTTAAGCTTAATAATAGATAAATATAAAAATGTAGACTGACCCAAAAGCCCGTAATTCACATAGAATTAGATAAAATAGCAAAAAAATGTTAAGACTTTTGGATGACATATGGTTAACAACTTACTGAGTGCTTCCGCTATTCTCCTTTTGTCTGGTGTTATGAATTGGGTGGGTTTCACAATTTTTGCTGGACCACAAGTATATCCTGGTCCTGGTGCATTCAGTGTGAAGTTTTTGGGCACCTTGACTGTTGTGTTAGTGGTTCCAGCTCTGCCAACACTTAACTGAAATGAAGCAACCGACTTGGTTGGATCCTGTGCCCGTGAGCTGAGAACCCCACCTTTGCAGCAATTTGCAATTTGCTGATTGTAAGGTGTTCCTGGCAGCAAATCAACAATTGTTGGGTTCTCTTTACAACTATGTGGGATGTTTCCCTTAAATTTTGAACAATCCCCTTGTTCAGTGGCCTGTCCTCCCATCATGCTCCATATCACCTCCTTCTTCGCCCATGTCCACCCTAGAAACCACCCTGGAGCCGAAATGTGACGACATTTTTGAAAATTTTGCATAGTAACTACGGCCTGCACATTCAGCAATTAATATTACAGATCAAGAAATATGTGCACATGTTATAGAGGGAAAAAGAGCCACAAAAATTTTGATGTTGTCTTGTTTCACAAAATACAGCAAAGTACGTACAACATAACCATCAGGGGTCCAGCTGATGATATCCCATTTGATTTTGATATTTCCTTTCGGGTCAAACGCATCATAAGCTTCTGAAAGATAAACGACCAACAAAGAATTAAAGTGTAAATGAATGGGATGTTTTAACATGTCAGGAATTAAGTGACAATGATAAGACTGACAAACATAGCCTAAGTTCCACGAACCAAGAAATGAAAGTCTACCAGCGATGTAAACAACTTTGCAGCTAAAGATAATCATCAGTCTATTCGAGAAAATTCCAAAACTTAAACTGCCAAGTTATAGAACAATGAGCAAACCTGTAGAAGGGAAGCAAGAGCAAGTGAGTAGGAACAAAAAAAGAATGCCCGAGCTTGCACAGAAACCCATTTTCTTGCTGCAAAGAAGATATTGAATTCTGAGCGTCTGAGTTCAAGATATAAGTAGACTAACCCAGCAAAGAAGCAAGAGAACTCGTGTATATGGGAAGAATAACGTGGAGTTGACTGCATTGTTCCACTTTGGCTAGTCATGAAAGAATACAGAAGATAATAATTGATAAATAAACTGTCAAGTGGCCTTACCTTGCCGATAATTTTTGTCCAGAATTGAGCACAAACTAGATAGATTAGTGGTGATTTCAACGAAATTGAAAGAAAAATCAAGGCTTCCACAGAATGCTCTGGGAAGAGCTTGGATGCAGTGTTAAGATGTGGAGTTTCTTTCAGCTGCATGAAACTCAGCTCAAAGGCAAACAGTGAGAAACCAACTCATTTTTCTAACAATATGGCTCACAGCATTGAAGCGTGGGGCTACTGCCACAGCCGTTCTATGTTGACTTATGACGTTTGGGTGAGTCAAAGAAAGAGGCGTGGACCAAGACTTTAAAAACTGTGGGCTCCAATAATTTAGCTTAAATTAATTGTTTCATAAATAAAAAAAAGCGTCATGATCAAGGTAAATGCTACTCCTCCGGTTAAGACTTAACTAACTAATTTAAGTAGATTAAAAATATTAGTTAAATTAGTTAATATGATATATTTTTCCTAAAACACCCTAAGCATCTTCCTTAATTCTTTTTCTTAAAGTTAACTTGGAAAAAAACCTGACAAGTATGTAAAATAAGTCTTACATATAGGATCAATATCAACTCATTAATTAAGTCCTATATTAAGAATCGAAGGAGCATTAAACAAATTTTCATATCATATCATTATCAAGTTGCATGTTAAGAGATCACACATGCAGTTTTGGTATCTTAAAACCGAAGTCTGCTTGCGTTAAAATGGCTATTGACATGTTTCCCACTTCCTTCGTGAGATCGCATTCCACCCTCATATGGGCGACGGAACTGCTTGGTCTTGCACGAAAATGAGAAGATTGGAACACTCTTGACTCTGGGCGTCGTGTGCTCAAAGTGAACTGTTTTTCTTTGAGACTATTGACATGTTTCCCACTTCCTTCGTGAGTTACGTTGAGAGCAATGAAAATAATAATAATTTTCATTAGGCCATTAACTGGTTTTGTTTGAGAAAATATTCCCTACCAAGGGTTTATTTCTTGGAAAATTTCAGTCAAGGACTATTATAGGAAGCTTTTTTCAATCAAAAACCAACGAATTTGAAATATCTGTGTAAAACCAAATTATTAAATTTAAATAAAGTTTTGTTCATTAGCAATTATCGAAATGTCATTCCTTCATTTTTTTTTTCTTTTTGTGGAAAAAGGGTTCATCTCTCCACTTTAACCGCCCATGGAGAACGACAAGAATGCTCTAAGGATGGCCAATATGAGAAACCTGCACCTATATGGTCCTTCAGTTCACCGCAAGAAAAATATTATATATACATGTATACATATACTTCAACACACACATGTATATGGATAATACAATTAATCTTTAGGCCATTTGGTTGTTAATTTACCCAGAAGTATTTGTCAATAACTAATATGCAGATAGCGACCATTTATAATCACATTAAATCGGACAGATATAACAATATCCATCATCAAGAGCCTTGTCGAAACTGAGCAGCAAAACATAAGACACCTGAGCTAGCTCTCAGCAATGACATGGTCGAAATGAGAGTTGAGTGTAATACGGACAGAAACTTCAAGGAAATGTATAAAAGACCAAAGCCACCAAGCAAGACATCATTAATAAGGCAAGCAGGGAAACTTGTTGCTGGGAACTGGCATTGGCCAGCAAAGGGTATGCATCTGGTTGTGGCAACTCACACATGTCCCCATTGAAAAAGATCCTCCGAGGAAAAGCCCAGCTTTTGTCGAGAGCAAAGGTCGAGTTATCCTTTCGAAAAACTAGTTCTAACTGTACATCACCAGAATGGCCAGCTTGGTTCAGAAAATCGTTGTAAAACTTAATTCCCCAAAGCATTACTGTATCATCTGTTCAAAAGCATGCAACTTTAGTCAACCATTTCATGGAGAAAGGAGTAAACACACTGATGATATACCCTTTTAATCTGAGGGTTTTTACTAGATATGACAGAAACATCAAATCTATGCACTATTTTCAATCAGACAGCTTCAAAAATCAAAACCGTTGTTGAAGCTCATACTCATGATGCATATTTCCTGCCTGCAGAACCATAGCAGGGAAAATTCATAAAAACAATGTCATTCAAAATAACTTACTTGTTGTTGCTCCGTATGATGCTAATCCCTTGTAGTTGGAACCGGAAAGTTGGGTCAGATTATCAACGTTTGGGTGTTGAACAAGCAAGTTCCAGTCAGAATAATTCGTCCTATAATTAAAATTGGTAACATTGATCTTAACTCGCCAGGATCCTTTGTCGTTACCCTTAACATGCCAGTGGACTTGGATGGGGCACATATGACTAGTACATTGAATCGAAGGTGTCAAATGAGGTGAATCCGACCTGGAACCACGTAGAGAAGATAAGTGTCAAAGCATAATCTCCAGATCAGTTTAGAAGCAATCATAATATGACTAGTGCATTGATGAAGTTACTTACTCTGCACAGCTAGACGAATTGCCCCCACAGCCACATGAACATGATGGGCAGGGTATGATAGTATCATTATAAAAAGAAGAAAGGGAGACACAGCAAGGAGGATTTTTATGAGCTACGAATTGTGCATATGTACATATCACATTCCATGTCACTGCAACATACCAGAATAATGCCAAGTTTTAAATTTAAGAGATTTTGCTCATATCTTGCCCATATACAGTAAAAACACATGTAAATATAAAATTCCCTACACATAATGTTAAGATATCATGTATGAGGAGTCCCATATCATATAGAGTGAAGGTTAATAACAGACACACGCGCGCGCGCGCGCGCATTATGAACTAATGATTCACATAGAATTAGATGCAAGAGCGATGGAAGTTAAAACTTTTGGGTGACCTATGGTTAACATATTCATACTGTCAGTGAATATAAGAATAGGGGTTTAACGACTTACTGAATGCTTGTGTTATCCTTCTTTTGTCTGGTGTTATGAATAATGTGGGTTTCACAATTTTTGCCTTTCCACAAGTATAACCTGGTCCTGGTGCTTTCAGGGTGAAATTTTTGGGCAACCTGACTGTTCTGTTAGTAGTTCCAGCTCTGCCGACACTTAACTGAAATGAAGCAACCGCATTGGTTGGGTCCTGTGCCAATGAGCTGAGTACCCCACCTTTGCAGCAATGTGCAATTTTCTGATTGTAAGGTGCTCCGGGAAGCAAATCAACAATTGCTGGGTCCTTTTTACAACAATTTGGGATGTTTCCTTTAAATTGTGAACAATTCCCTCGTTCAGTGGCCTGTCCTCCCACAATGCTCCATATCACCTCTTTCTTTGCCCATGTCCATCCTAAAGTCCACCCTGGTGCTGCGAAGTGACGATATTGTTGGAAGTTGTGCATAGTAACTAGAGCCTGTACACTCAGCAATTAATATGGAATCGTATTTTGATGTTGTGTGGTCTCGTAAAGACTTTCGTTGCTGCTATTAAGAGATGATAAAGTCAGACAAAGTACGTACAACATAACCATCGGAGGTCCAGTTGATGACATCCCATTTGATCGTGATATTTCCATACAGGTCAATCGCATCAGAAGCTGAAAGATAAATAACCGACCAAATGATAAGAATGAAGGGGATATTTTAACGTGTCAGGCGTTGAGTGACAATGACAAGAATGAAGAATGAAAATGTACTGTACAAAAAAATTCAAAGAACAAACCTGTAGAAGGGAAGCGAGAGCTAGCGAGGAACAGAAAAAATAGAATGCCGAAGCTTGCATTCCAGAGGGATGTAATTATGGGTATCAAACAGAAACCCATTTTGTTGGTGCTGAGCAGATGTGGAATTCTTAGCCTCTGAGATTTTTGTGGTGAGTTAAAGATCTATGGAGATTGACCCAGCAAAGAAGCAAGAGCGCATGTGTGGGAAATATAACAAGGAGTTGACTGCACTGTTCCAGTTGGCTACTCATTAAGAATAAATAATATAATAATTGATACACAAATCGTCATGTGACCTTACCTTGCCAGTGATTTTTGTTTAAACTTTAAATAAACTTGATTAGCGGTACATATTTTAAACAAAATCAAAAGAAAAATCAGGCCTTCCATCTAGACTGCTATGGGGAAGAGCTGGGATGCTTTGCTGAGATGTGCAGTTTCTTTCAGCTGCAAAATCATGCATGAGGCAAACAGTGAGGAACCGCCTCATCTTCAACCTCTTGCTGCCTCAATCTTGTGAGATTCTTCAAAGCACATGGAATCAAGGAATTGGATTCTTTCATACTCCCTAACATTTCTTAGTCAAAGGTGTGACTTTAATTCAAGAACGTAATTCGGGCAAGAGTTTGTGTTAGTTAACTGATTTATGAATGAGTGTTTTTAACAATAAATATTTCATACTCTTCATATCCTTAATATATAATATCTATTTAACTAATTTGATTATATTAAAGAAATTAGATAAGTTCATTAATTATAAAAATGATAAATATGAGAAATAAGTCTTATAGTTAGGATCAAAATCAACTTAATAATTAGATCCTATATTAAGGATCGAACGAGTAACATGCTAAGAACAAAATTATTTTCTCAAGGTAAATCCTAAAATTTTTGTTGCCTCGGCAAAATATTTCCGATCAAGGTTTATTTCATTTCTTTCAAATATTTTTCATTCTTTTTCGGATTTTTTTTTTTGGGTCAAAATTCTTTTTCGGATTAAATTCATAAAACAAAGGAGATATTCTGATAGGTTTATTTATTAGGTTAAAACAAACTTTAGACATTCAAGTCTTTTGATTTTGATTCTTCAAATTTTAAATTATAGATTTTATTCCTTTAAATTTCTTTTTATTTAAAATATTTGTTTCTATAATTTAATAAAATTTGAATGATTTTGTTTAGGATCAAAATTTATTTTTTGAAACTTTATAAACTAAAACCAAAATAAAAACAATCTTTAATTAATCCTTTCATTTCTTCCAAAAACAGGGGGGAGAGACAGAGAGAAGAAAATTACGCGCACAACCTCCCTCCCCTCTCTCACCCGCCACTCGAGCCTTGTTTCCGCTCCAAGAATTTAGAAGAGTAGCACCTTTCGGCATTGGATGGGTTCCTCAGTTTCCTGCGAAATTTGATATATATTGGATCCCGGGGTCCCAAGACCCAATGACAGCGTCCGATTCGCGATCCCACTCGTTCGGCCAGACTGAGATTAACTGGGACAAGTAACGCTTGATCTCTCTTAATTTTCCGATTCGCACCTTCTTTTAAGAAAAAATATTTGATGCGACGGTTCGCTCAGCAAATTCATTCTCTCTTCTTGTTTTTTTGGTATAGTATTGACGGTTTATTAATGACATTTGAGTCACTGAACGAATGCGCTATTAACTATTTTGGTCAATATATGGTTCATTTTGAATATATTTATTGTACGAAATGACTTCTTATACCTCTGTTTAATATGCTTTGCTGAGTCCATTATTGGTGTTGTAGTTTCGCGAAGTCCTATGGTATTGTTTTATTGGTGAGGATTAGTGGGATGGCTTCATATTTTGTTTGTATAGTAAAAATCAAACGAAATGAAATCGAGGCTGACTGATTCTTTGTTTGGGAAAAGTGAGAAGCATCAAAATTTTCATATTCTATAGGCACTGAACCTGTTAAAAATGTTTGATAATGCTTGCTGACTGGAATCGGTCCTAATGGGAAGTCATAAATGTTGGTTTCTTTCCTTCCAAGGAAGCGTTTAGTTGGCTGTAGGAAGTCATATATGAACCTATAGGTCTTTGTGTCTTCAAGCTCTCTATATTGATTAGTTACTCATTTCTGCAGGCTAGATAAAACGAAGTTCTATGTTGTGGGAGCTGGACTCTTTACAGGTGTCACATTGGCACTCTACCCAGTTTCTGTAGTGAAGACTAGACTGCAGGTTGCCTCGAAGGATACTGGAGAAAGAAATGCATTTTCTGTTATAAAGGGATTACTTAGAACAGATGGGATTCCGGGTCTGTATAGAGGATTTGGCACAGTCATCACTGGTGCAATTCCTGCCAGAATCATATTTCTTACGACCCTAGAGACCACTAAGGTGGCCGCCTTCAGGATGCTTGAACCATTTAGACTCTCCGAAACCGGCCAGGCAGCCATAGCAAATGGAGCTGCTGGCTTGACATCATCACTTTTAGCTCAAGCTGTGTTTGTTCCCATTGATGTGGTACGAAAGTTTGATTCATGTCGTCTATGCATTTGGCTATGTGCTCGTTCGTATCTGCCGAGGGTTTGTAGCACTGTATACCTTGTTTGCAGTATGATGGTCAATTTCATTTTATCTTGGTTGAAAATTTTGCGTGCAGCTCTATGTGTATATTTGCTGATTTGGCATACAGACATGTTTTGTCTTTGCCTTGATGCTTTGCTAATGATTTTTTGAAGTTACATGAGTGACAGATATTTGCATAAATAAGGACTGTTATTAAATATTTAGGCTTGGTATTGGACTGTTACTAAATATTATTACCCATGATCTGTCTTTCTGTTGTCTTGTCTGCTGCTTTCGTTTTATTATGGTGACATTCTTACCCTGATCATTTTTCTTGATAATTTTTTCTTCTTTTATCAAAATAGCAACGTTTCTTATATGTTAATTACCTTTAGGTCGATTGATACTCAGGTGAGCCAAAAGTTGATGGTGCAAGGATACTCAGGTCATGCTCAATATAATGGTGGTCTGGATGTTGCTCGTAAAGTGTTAAGATCAGATGGCATCCGGGGATTATATAAAGGATTCGGTCTTTCTGTTATGACATATGCTCCTTCTAGTGCTGTATGGTGGGCAAGCTATGGTTCAAGCCAACGCTTAATTTGGAGGTGAGACATGTCACTAATAACACTAAGTTATTGTATTTGCCTCTAAAATTAATTGGGCTAGAGACATGGTGATACACGTTGCTAATAACTCTAAGATGTTTTATTTACCTCTTCAGATAATTGTATATTATTATCAAATGGCAGTAAGATCTAAATACCCATGGAAATCCATTGAACTCTTATTTTCTCCTTTTAAAATTAAACAAGTATTTTGAGTCATCTGTCCCATGAATTGGTAGCATGAGTGTTGGAAAACCCCGCATGTGACTTTTTTCATGGTACCTGGTACACTCTAAATTTTCAAATTGCGGCCATTTGGCATGTGTGATGGTGTAACATCATGCAGGTAGTGAATTATTGCAAGTAAAAAATGATAGGATTCATCTGGCTGAAATGCTATGCACCGCATAAGCCAATCAAGTGGCAAGCTAAAATTGCAGAAACATGCAATTAAAGCTAATTGATGTTATCAGTAGCGGGTAATGAACTTAGCACATCATGCAAACACCAATGTTTTTATATGTACATGTTTGCACGAACTTTTTCATATTAAGGAGAATCAACTCCTGGTTGCTTGGCCAGATTCTTGGGCTATGCAGAAAATAAGGAAGGCAAACCTGGAGTGCAGAAGATCGTTTTAGTTCAGGCTACCGGGGGAATTATTGCTGGCGCAACTGCATCCTGCATTACGACACCATTGGATACTATTAAGACACGATTACAGGTGTGCGTAGCCAATGTTTGATTAATGTTAGATTCATTATTCCCTGCTATCATCAAAGTGGATGCGTCATTTTTTTTGTTGGTTAAAGTGGTTGTTCTTCATTGTTTAATAACATTACATCATACGCACTTTAACATTAGTATGGAGTTATTGAATGGAACCTTTGGATTAACAGTATATTTAAATATTTAATTGTTTATAGAGTATAATGGCATTGTGCAGTCCACATAACCGATCCTACTTAATGGGACAAGGCTTATTGTTATTGTAACATTAGTACAGTGCGATTAGGATGATGATGATGGAGGGTTCAATGAACATTTAATAATTGTAATTTAGTTTTTCAATTATCTTTTTGTAGTTCCAGTCACAGTCTATTTAATTGTTCTGACTCAACAGTTACGCACTTCAGGTGATGGGACATGAAAATAAAAGCTCTGTGAAACAAGTTGTCAAAGACTTGATAAACGAGGACGGTTGGAAAGGTTTATACAGAGGGTTAGGTCCAAGATTTTTCAGCATGTCGGCGTGGGGTACTTCTATGATATTAGCTTATGAATATCTGAGTAAGATCTGTCTCTATGCTCTCTTAATGTGTGTGCAGTTGTTCAGGTGTAGTGCATTCGAATACTGAATAGTAAGAAATAATTATCCACACGTAGCTGTTTACGGTATTTGCCTGGCTTTGGGTTTGGTTATTATGATATTATAATACTACCTCCAATCCTTAATATTACTTCCGGTTCTAATTATAAGACCTCCTTTGTAGTCTAGAAACAAGTTACTATAATTAGGACTGTAGGTAGTATAATTTAAATTGAATTGCAAACTAGATTTTATATTGAGAATCAGAAATAGTAATATAGACGTGAATTTGGATTGAGTTAATATATCATGGATTATGGTGCACTTGACTCTGCCACATATTTGGCTCATCCTGAAAGTTTGTTTATATTTCTTTGAGCAGAGCGCTTGTGTGCAAAAGATGAATAGACAGACGCAAACGGTTCACCTCATCTTCGCCCAAGATTAGTTCATGTGGTTAGAAATCTTCTTCTTGGGCAATGATGTTGAATAAGCAATAATGGACTACGAGCCTGCCACCTTAAGCACGGGGTCGGTTCTGGACATTTATTAGTCTTATGATTGAAGGGTTAAACTACAGGCATTGAAGTTATTGCTTCTGATTATAATTGAAACAGCTATTGGATGCACTAGCATAGATAAGGAATTTTTCCAACTAGGAACTTTTATTAGTACCATTCATTTTTAATGACTAGTACGGATTAGGGATCTATTTTATCAGCATTGGATAATGCTTCAAACTGAGATGGAGCTCTTTTTAAATGTATGATGCTCGGATTTGGCTCCATTTTCGCCATTTATTCTTTAGGGTTATCTAATATGCATTATGTTAGGTATTTGCAGTGAGGTCTGTTAACTAACAGATTGACGGCTACGGTTTAAGCTTATAATTTTCCCTCAGAAGAATATGAACTTTGGTCCTAGCGTACAAGAAAATAATGAAATGATGGTCGATCTTAATACCACCAACCATAGCTACAGGGAACATTTCTGTTACTAAAGCTATTAAATTTCGAAGCTAAGATTCAATGAGGTTCCTTTCAAGCTAGCCAGAAACATGCATGCATCGAAGACAAATTGGTTATAACTACATTTGTAAGGTGTTTGGGAATGCTTAAAAATGCTTCTAAGAAGCACTTTTTCACAAAACCCATATATTTACTTCATAAACCGTAAAAACACTTTTAAAACCATGATTTGATTTACATCTAAACACTCTTTTAGAATACTAGAATTTTCAAATTCAACAATCAAAATCACAAATATAGGTCAAGCACCGCATGGATGAGATCCTTTTCCCATGAAGTAACATCCATGGGAATATTCGTTAAATAAAAAATTTGTCCTCGTCGCCTAGGATTAGTCCAGCACTCATATTTTCCTCCCAGTCTCTGGAGAATACATCAAAACTTTATCTTCCAAAATTTGCGCTCGACCATGTTAAATTTTCTATCTAAAATTTAGATTTAGACGTACCAAAAGTAACTGCAACAACGTCAAGCATCCTGTATGAGATTTGTGGAAAACTGAAATGTATATAAATCTCATCCTCAATCACTCATTCTTTGCATTCATTTACTCCGAAGCTTCTCATGGTTGTCATCATCTTCATTGTCATCTTCACAATCTTCGTTGTCACTGTTATCATCGTTATTATCTTCATCATCGCATTCTTCATTCTCACCATTATCTTCTTCGTCACAATCTTCGTTTTCACTGTCATCGTCTTCATCATCACTATCAACATATTTATCATCATAAATTTCACCACCATCATGATCTCCATTAGGTCTGTTCTGTTTAGCATAATCCTCCAGAGATGCATTGGGAAACAAATCTCCAACCTTATTATCTTTAGTATCTGTAGGAGTTTTTGCCGAACATTTGGATTTGCCTCTGTTCATCTATTAACAAAAGCATAGAATAGAGAACAATTAGCGGCGTACATAGAGCATGATTAAAACACAGGACAGTATTAAATCACAGTGTAAATGCATATGCATCAATATCGGGTAATATAGACAACTTCGTAAAAACCAAAAAGTAGTGGAGTTTAAGATCAATATTCCTTTTATTTTGGCAATGCCCTCTCCTTATTTTCGAGGTAAAAGACTTTACTGGGAGCTTGAAAATGGTACTAGTGGAGGTTTACTTTTCAAAAATATTATGAATATATAGTAATTAGAAGCATTAGATGAACCATATGATGTATCATACTGTTGCAGATCAAAATTATCCTTAGATATTACCCTGGTTAAAGATTTTTAGGAGGCCCACGAGTTTAAAATTATTCTCAGAATCTGAGTTTAGAAGTGGTGAATCATGAATATTTTGAACCAAATATCACTAGCATTGAGCCAATGAGCCCTATAACTGCAAGAATTTGAACACATTAGAGCATTCTCTTCATACAATCACACTAGCCATCAAATGAAATGGAAAATGTTACGCAGCCTACTAACAAAAGAGTAACTATCAACAAGTTCATGAATCATCATGATGCAGCCATTTTAGGTCACTTGACCTTAATTCTCGTAATAAACGATTCCAAATAAAAATCTGCAAGCTAGTGCTTTGTCGTCTAATCTATTTCAATGCAAAGGCAATCAGGCAAATTTGCACGATTAGGAACAAAGGGAAGCAGGATATAAGATGAAAAAGTAAACAAGTACGTTGAGAATAATTTTTAGAATCTTACAGCACGCAATAGGGTTCTTCTGTCCCTCTCCCGAGAATTCTTAATAGCCTGTGACAAGAACACAGAAACAATTATAATGTTCATAAGGCAACTTGAGAGAGACAGAGAGGGGGGGGGGGGATTTTTTTTTTTTTTTTTAAAAGGAACCTCCTCAAGCTGTTTTTGCTCAGCTTCTACATCTGAAAGATCCCTACAAAGAGGAAAAACAAAGTTAATAAGAATAATACTCCTTTCCCCCCTTCTTTTGCAGTGCCCATGTTCATGTTTCACAAATGACAAAACAAATAAAACAGAAGCAGAATTATTCTTAAAATGTTAAGACGACCTTCCAACTATTCGATCTACAGCGCAACAACACTTTGCGCAAACACCATGCTCCTTGGCACAGCCTACACTATCACTAAAACCAATCAGTTAAGACAAAGTGCCAGAAACAACATGTCTCTACAAACTGAAACAAGCAAAAATAACAACAAAAGATTAAGGAGAGAGCGAAACCAACCAGAACACAGGTTATGGTAAGCTTGACGAACAGCACGTTTAGAGCATCTCTGGCTGCAACATTAGACATTCGAAAAGGCCAATAAACTAACCAAATACAGCAATGCTAAAATCTAACGCAATAATTACAGCAAAACAGAGACTTGTACTTTCCAAAAGATAAAATAAAGAAAGAAGGAAGAAAGGAAATACCATTTGGCAGGTTCGACAAGGGGCTTGTACTTTCCATAACGGCGTTTCCAGTCGATCTGTTCTTTACAGCGAGGGCAAACCCCAGTGATTTCAGATAAAGGCCTGAACCTTCCTCCTACCTCCTGCACGAGCGGGTGAGAATTCAATCCCAGAAACAATCAAAATTTAAAAAGAATATCTGAAGAAACGAAGAGTGATGAGCTCTCACAGTTTCGTTGATCTTACGGCTGGCGTTGGGTTTCCAGGCGTACTTGTTCTGGTGCTTCGGCTGTCCCCGCCGCCTACTGCTCATCTTCAATACCCTTTGCGCCACCGCCTGAAGTCTTGGGCTTATGAGGCTTTGCCCTCCTTCCCAGCAGGAAAATACTGCGTTCTTTTTGGAATTTTTCTAAGAAAAAATTCCGATAGGTCCTAAATAAAATATAATATTAAAAAATTGAGTTTTGATAAAGTTGGTTTGTAAATAAACGACTCGCAGATTGGCTTGTAAATATAAATAGATAAATTTAAGTTATATGTATAAATTTGACTTGTAAATATAAAGTTTTAACAGGTTTTTATTTTTAATTTTGTATTTACCACTTATGAGTAATTTTTTCTAGATACTTTTGGAACAGCTTCTCTTCACTAATCGATTATTCCACTCTTTGTTGATCTTTTAAGTGTTATAGTTTCAAATAATAAATTTTAGTTTTTTTATTTCATTTGCAATGTAAGTCCTTATATTTTGATAAGGATCTGGACCCAAAGTTAATAGTGTTAAATATGCTTACGTGTCATTTACCATTGTTTATTTTGCTGACATGGCATACTTATTGGGCAGGCCAACTCGACATGTGATTTTAATAAATAAAAAAACCCTCACCTTCTTTCTAAAATTAGCGGCATTCTCATTGCGTATCATCGTCATCATCTCACTTTTTTTCATACCGTTGTCGTTTGGCATTCTCAAAACTACGGTTTCAGAAGCATTTTTCTGCAAAACGAGGTAACCTCCTCCACATATTTACTTCGTAATTTGTAAAAACACTTCTGAAACTATGGTTTGGTTTCTATCCAAACACTCTTGTAATAACTTGAGGAGCCAAATGGTAGGAACTATAGGAACTAACGTAGTAAATGAAATAAAATTTAAAGGAACAAAAGTTATTATTTAAAATTATATAAACTAAAATTAAAATGAAAGAAAAATATAATGACTAAATATTATATTAACTCTAGCTCTTATGACAAACAGGACAAGTACGGATTGGTGTTGCTAGCAATTCCATGATGTGAACGGAGAAAGGACGATATACTTAGAGAGGGGATGCAAATGCAATAATAACTAAGGACGCAACATCATGCAAAGCTTCGTAGGAGTTTAAACTGTTATTGATTTACCTTTTGTTTGGACAAATATTTTTGCAGTCTTCTAAAATTAATTATTGAAGCTACACCATTCCAGTACATGCTGCAAAAATACAAGATACATTTAATTATGAAACAAAGCAACAACAAAAAAAATATAGTCTCTATTTTTACTATAAGAGTTATTTAATTAATTTAAATAAATTAAAATAATTAATTAATTATCACAAATATGACATTACTTACTTTAAATTATATATTAGTTTATAAGTTAAGTAAACTAATTTGTTAAAAAATAATAGTAAATATAAAGATATTATATTTACAGCCAAATCCTATGCTTTCAGCTTCTTCCTCTAAGGCCCTGAAGGAATAAAAAAGGAGCACTGGGGATATTTTAACCGGTCTGAAGGTGACGTGGGCATTTGGATGAATATAATTTGATGATGACACGAGGAGTATGAACGACCTAAGACAACGCGGACAAGCAAACAACATATACGAAAGTTGTTATGCGCACCTTATCCTGGGAACCAACGTTTGTGAACATGAACATCTCTTTGTCGACTTCAACCAAAAAGTCAGGCGTGAACATGAACATCTCTCAGTCAACTTCAACCAAAAGATGATTAGTCTTTCATATCAAGATTTGTTTAACTTTTCTTTTAATTTCAAATATAAAATTCAAATTCACGTTATTTCTTATATTTATTTATTTTTTTTAAAATAATTTTTGTAACAGTGGTAGTTCTAGTCAGTATACTTAACTAGCAAAAGTATTTTAAGAAAGACAACATTTATTTATTACAAATAACTAACGTAACTAATTTTTTTAATCTACTCAAATTAGTTAACTAGTTCTTATATCAAGGCTGTATCAATTTAATTTAATTTAATTCTGGCAAGTCTCCTCTACTCCTACTCGCTGAAGACTGATCCTCCTGGATGTCCAAATAATTTGCCGCTCTCTATTATGAATTCATTATTGATATCAATCAATTGTTATGGGATTCTTTTTCATTGTTGATGTGTATGTTGCATTTTAAATAGGTTCATTCACTTATTAAAACAGAAGTAATTGTTGTCCTCTCCTCTTCACCCATTAAGCCAATTCATGCATTAATATTAACCGGGGTGGATTAACGGCAATATTTTCTTGTCATTCGTCAAACGTAACGTGTGTATTGTGCCATTTATCACTTAAATTCATGCTTCCCACCAAACCACCTTCCTTGCAAAACCCAGTTGATTTCGTCCAAAATGGGGTCTCTTCTGCGCTTCCTATTTGTCATATCTCCCTTGTTTTACGGTGTCGCTGCTGCTGCTTCTTGCTCTGGTGGAACTTGCAGGGTCTGTATCTTCCACCCCTTCTTCATCAATCCAATTCTTTCGTCTTTAACTTTCCTTGTGAACGATCTCTGTGGTTTAAATTTGAAATCTTTCGCTAGCTTCTTGATGACTGTTCGTCTGATCGAGATTGTGGTTCGGGCCTGTACTGTTTCTCGTGCCCTCTTGGATTCTCAGGCTCTAGGTGTGTAAGATCAGCCATTACAGACCAGTTCAAGCTCATTGTAAGTAAGATGCAATATGTGTGTGTGTGTGTGTATCTCCCTATCTTTTCGCCTAATTCTTAGCAAATTGCCATAACAACGCACTCACAATCCACATCAGAAACTGCGTCGTCGTTTAACAATCATCAGTAACTTTTGGATTATTTGATTCTGCTCTGTTTTCTTGGAAGGACTATGGCCCCATATATAATTATCTAATCCAGAATGGGTCAACGTAACAGTAGATTTTTGTGAATACATGCGTTTTCGTTTACAGTGTATTTTTAGTCTCAGTACCTCATTATTAACTTGGTTTATTATCCACTCTCTACTCCTCTCGTGTCAACAGCGGTTGGGCATATCAGGGAATCAAGACTTCTAGTGACATAATAAAACTTAACAAAACTCTGATGAAAATCAACATGTAGGGAGTCTAATCAGATTTATCATATATTGAGTAAAGATTAAATTTATTCAAAATATCTACAATTTCTGAAATTTGATCGATACAGGAAATTTTGAAGGCAGGGTATCTCAATTTTTTTTTCTTTTTTTTTTGCATTTCTCTGCCTTTCAACAAATATGCATTTCTGACAACACACAATGCTTTTGCCATTAATGGAGAGCCGTCTCACACAGGAGTTCCTCGCTTAGCACTCCCCAACCAAGAAGACACTGTCACCCAGCAGCTAAATGTATGATATTTAACCTTCAACCTCTAGATCATGCCTTCGTTTTCTGTCTTTCAAGTCATGTTTAATCTCACTCACCTTTCTTTATCCTCTCAAAATGATTCATTTTTGAAGAACGGAGTTCGAGCACTAATGCTAGACACATACGATTTTCAAGGAGACGTGTGGTTATGTCATTCATTTGGAAGAAAATGTCATCATTATACAGCTTTTGTAAGTAAACGCGTTTGTTTTATTTTCATAGTTTAACACAGAAAAATGCTTGACTCGATTCTGTGATAAATGAGCAAGCAGGAACCTGCTCTAGATACCCTTAAAGAGATCGAGGCGTTTCTATCAGCGAACCCCTCAGAGATTGTGACTCTGATCTTGGAAGATTATGTTCAAGCTCCTAATGGCTTAACTAAGGTCTTCACTGATGCTGGTCTCATGAAGTACTGGTTTCCTCTCTCAAGCATGCCCAGGAATGGTCAAGACTGGCCCCTTGTCAGTGATATGGTTTCCAAAAACCAGAGATTGCTTGTCTTCACTTCTATCAGATCTAAGGAACAAAGTGAAGGCATTGCTTACCAATGGAACTACATGGTTGAAAACCAGTGTAAAAACCACACCATCCTCCAGAAAACTCTCTCCTTTTCTCTGTACCAAAGTGTTAAACTATTTATGAGGCTCTCTTTTGTGCAGATGGTGATGGTGGAATGAAAGCAGGAAGTTGTCCAAACAGGGCAGAGTCATCTGCTCTTGATGACAAAAGCAAATCTTTAGTGTTGGTGAACTATTTTCGATCTACACCAGTTAAGCCAATCACTTGCAAAGATAATTCTGGAGATCTCGTTAACATGTTAAGTACTTGTTATGGTGCTGCTGGCAACAGGTGGGCTAACTTTGTTGCTGTTGATTACTACAAGGTAATTTTTTTTTTCCAGTACTCTTCTCTTCCAAGAATTTGATTGTTGATACAACATGGATGATCTGTGTAGCCAACCCCATTTAGTACGATAAAACCTGTTGTTGTTTTCTTCTCTGTCCCTTGTAATATTTGCTGTTAAAGCTTCCGTTTTTGGAGTCATATACTGTAAGAGAACACTGATATGATTCTGATCTGCACAGAGGAGTGAAGGAGGAGGATCGTTTCAAGCTGTGGACACTCTAAATGGGAAGCTTTTGTGTGGGTGCGACGATGTCCATGCATGTCTGGTAGAGCATTCTTACTCCCACTTGCGTGTTTTGTTTAAGAGGAGAATCTCTAAGTTTGCCCATTTAATCATGAAGTTTGATTGTCGTGATTTCAGCCTGGGTCAACCTCACAAGCTTGCTCATCAGCACCACAGTAAGTAGGGCGACAGGTGCAACAAGGTTTCGAACACGTTAATCTTCATTTGTTTAAAGCCCCACTGTTGCTCGCGTCGCTGGGGATTGGCGTGCAATTATGCAACACTGTTATTACTTATTAGACAGCAACAACGTCTATACATTTAACCAAAGAAAAGAGAAAGAATGAACATGCAAGAGCATGTTGTTTTCTTGAGTTAAAATGTGCAGTAAGGGTCTCAAACACCTTTTCTTTCTTTGTTTTTTTTGGCCAAAAAACACCCTTTCTTTCATTCTCACAATTTAATGGGTAACTAAATAGAATAAGTAAATTTGTCATTAAAACCAGTTATTGAGGTGCGATAGCCAATCCACTTAAATATTTTATGAAGCATATCATATAACTTAATGTGGGGCTTAATATCTCGTACCATCAAGCCCCATCAAAATTTTTTCAAATGTAAAATCTTTTACTAATACAATATTGTGTCAAAACACTCTTCTCACAAGAATTATTCATTTGTAATTGGATACAAGATTTGTTATGTCTAACTCAAATATCAATTTTTTGTTTATTTTTAATTCATAATTATTATTTATTTTAGATGATACTCGAGTACAAAATGTTTAGTGAAGACAACATTTTAATTTTCACTGAAAATAAATTATCTACGTTATATATTCAATTTCTTTTAAAACAAAACAAATGTTGAAATAAGAAAATGGACAAATAAAATTATAAGAAAAATTAAAGTTGACTCTTCTCAATTAGGAAAATATATTCTTTATAATTGAATTTTAAAATGCTTTAATATGGCAAGCAGTTATAATTGGAAAATCACTAAAAAAACCATAAAAATTATAAAATCACAAATTAGACGCGTTACAAGACTCGTATAGGTTTTACTGTTCTAATAACAATCAAATGGCAAATGAGAACAATTTTTTTTACAAAATACCTTATTTACAATATTGCAATTTCTATGGTCTTTTTTGTGATTTTTTTATTATTTTAATCAAGATCATCGTTACAATTGGAGCGATAAATTAATAGCGATTTCACTGAAGATTATTTCAATTGAAAATAGTAATGCATTATATTATTACTATATAAACAAAAAACAGATACAAGGCACAAGCTAAATTTAAATGATACAAATTTCCAAGACTAATTTATTTATTTTATTTTTCCTGAAATTAGCAGGCATTCTCGTTGATCATCATCATCACCGCCATCATCATCTCACTTTTTTTCGTACCGTCGTAATAACTTGACTCACATAAAATAGGTATCGCCTTTGCATTTGAAGCCGAACAGTGGGCAATTCTGAAGGGACTTGAGATCACTTGGGATCTGGGTTATAGAAGGGTCATCATTGAATCTGATGCTCTAAACGTGATTTTGATGCTAAAGAATGGCAGACTCTCACCTAATGCCAGTCTGCTAGTTCTCCAGATTCAGACGGTAATGTTGCGTCCTTGGGAGCTCAGAATTCAGCATACCTCTCGGGATAGGAACCAGCTTTCGATAAACTTGCAAAGGAGGGTTTATTGAAGTCTTCCATCTTTGATGCCTGCCCACTGCCACTGCAGGACCTGGCTTTAAAGGAATGTTTGGGATTTAGTCCCCCGTGATTTAGTTTTCTGTTTTCGTTTTTTGGGCTCTGCCCTCTTATGTGTGTGTGTATATATATATAAAAAAAAAAAAAACTGGAGGGGCCAAATGTCAGCTCAGTTTCAGACTCATCCATGATCTCTATCTCATCACCTTTTGATTTAGAAAGAGAAGCACCTACCCCGTGAGCCACCTCTGTTTTTTGTTTTGTTTTTTCCCTTTCCAGAAAACAGATATCAAGAGAGCCATGATCTCTATGTCAAGGAAATTCTCAATGCAATGCCAATGATGATGATGCATAGTGAGAACATCCTAATTCTACGGCGAAGATGATAGCTTTTAAAAAAAATTAAAATTAAAATCACATGTCCAATCAGCCGCCTGATCAACATGCCATGTCAGAATAATAAACGGTCTTAATAACTCATAAGCAAATTTAATACTTTTAATTGTGGGTCCGGGTCCTTAATTATTACTTTCGGTCCTAATTATAAGAACCAGTTGACTAATTTGAGGAGATTAAGGAAATAAGTTGAGTTAGTTATTTGTCCTAAATAGGTGTTGTCTTCTCTAAAATATCATTGCTAATCAAGTGTATTGACTAGAACTATCATTGTTAGAAGGGCTACTTTGGAAAAAATGTATAAATATAAAAGACAGTGGATTGAGGTTTTATATTTAAGACTAAAATAAAAGTCAAACAGAATCTTCTATTAAGGATTAGACGTAGTATTAATTAAACTATAAAAACTAACGTTGTAAATGGAATAAAATTTAAGAAGCCAAAATCTATTATTTAAAATCATATGAAGTAAAACTAAAATGAAAAAAAAAAGATATAAAGACTAAATATTATATTAAATTTTTATGACAAACAGGACAAGTACTGATTAGTCTTGCTAGCAATTCCATGACGTGACCTGATACATTTAGAGAGGGAGTGAAAATGCAATAATAACTAACGGAGACAACATCATGCATAGGAGTTTAAACTGTTATTGATTTATCTTTTGTTCGGACAACTATTTTTGTAGTCTTTTAAAATTAATTATTGAAGTTACACCATTCCAGAACATGCTGCGAGAATACATGATGCATTTAATTATAAAATAAATCAAAAAAATATAACATACTTCTTATGTTTACTATAAGAATTACTTAATTAATTTGAATGAATCGAAATAAATAATTAATTAATTATAATAAATATGACATTATCTACTTAAAGGCCAAAACATCTTAATAAAATATTAAATTATATACTCCTCCGGTCCTTAATATAGAACCCAATTATTGAATTGATTTTGATCCTAAATATAAGACTCATTTCTCATATTTATCAATTTTATATAAATTATCTTTATAGATACTCCCTCAACCATAATCAAGTAGAAGAGGGAGATGTGATATTAAGAAAGATGATTATGGTGTTTTAAGAAAAATATGTCATATTTTTTTATAATTAACTAATTTACCTAACTTTCTTAATCTAATCAAATTAGTTAAATAGATCTTATATTAAGGACCGGATGAGTATTGGTTTATAAGTTAACTAAACCAATTTATTAAAAAAATAATGGTAAATATAAAGATATTATATTTACAACCAAATCGTATATGGGAGAATTACATTCAAATCCCACAGAAGAGAAATAATCACTAAAAGGTCTCAATAACAACCTGAGCAGCCTGTAATGACAAGTCATACAGTGAGAATGACAATTTATGGGACTTGTTTTTTAATTATTTTTCTTGTTTGGGATCTTATTGTAATTCTCTCATCTTATATTTTCAGTTGCTTCTTCTAAGGCCCTGAAGGAATAAAAAAGGAGCACAGTACATATTTTGACGGGTCTGAAGGTGACGTACGCTTTTGGATGAACATAATTTGCTGATGACACGGGGAGTATGAACGACCTAAGACAACGCGGCAAGCAAACAACATACGAAAGTTGTTCCTGGGGACCAACGTCTGGTAAGGGCGGGTGTGAACATAAACATCTCTTTGTCAGCTTCAACCAAAAAGTCGGGTGTGAACGTAAACATCTCTGTCAACTTCAACCAAGAGATGGATTAGCCTTTAATATAAAAATTTGTTTGATTTTTTTATTTTAAATATTAGACTCAAATTCATGTTATATGTTATATTTATCTAATTTTTTTAAAAAATAATTCTTATCATAATAGTAACTTTAATCAATACACTTGATTAGTAAGAATATTTTTAAGAAAAACAACATCTACTTATTACAAATAATTAAAGTAACTAATTTTTTTTAATCTATTCAAATTAATCAACTAACTCTTATACTCCTTCGGTCCTTAATATAAGACTCATTTAACTAATTTGATTAGGTTAAGGAAGTTAGGTAAGTTAGTTAATTATAAAAAAAGTAACACATTTTTTCTAAAATACCGTAATCATCTTTTTTAATACCTCATCTCCCTCTTCTATTTGATTATGGTTGAGAGAGTATCTATAGAGGTAATTTAGATAAAATTAATAAATATGATAAATGGGTCTTATATTTAGGATTAAAACCAACTCAAGAATTGGGTCCTATATTAAAGATCGGAGGAGTATTAAAATTGTATCAATTTAATTTAATTTAATTTAATTCTCACAAGCCTCCTCTGCTCCTACTCGCCGAAGACTGATCCTCGTGGATATCCAAATAATATGCTGCTCTCCATTATGAATTCATTATTGATATCAATCAATTATTATGGGATTCTTTTTCATTGTTGAAGTGTACGTTGCATCTTAAACAAGTTCATTCACCTATTGAAACAGAAGTAATTGTTGTCCTCTCCTCTTCACCCATTAAGGCAATTCATGTATTAATATTAACCAGGGTGGATTAACGGCAATATTTTCTAGTCATTTGTCAAACCTAAATTGTGTATTGTGCCACTTATCACCTAAATGATCGGTTCCCACCAAATAACCGACAAAGTTGAACAGTTATTGTCGAGGATTCGAATTAATCTTCTTTTTTTATTACTTTCCATTTCTCCTCATCTTGGCCCGGCTTGTTCCTGTATCTGAGAAATCAATGATTTTCCTTTGTTCTCTCCGCCGGCACCGAAAGTTCTTTTTTTGGGGTGTTTTCTGACACGAATCAACATAAAACCACCTTCCTTGCAAAACCCAATTGATTTCGTCCAAAATGGGGTCTCTTCTGCGCTTCCTATTTGTCATATCTCCCTTGTTTTACGGTGTCGCTGCTGCTGCTTCTTGCTCTGGTGGAACTTGCAGGGTCTGTATCTTCCACCCCTTCTTCATCAATCCAATTCTTTCGTCTTTAACTTTCCTTGTGAACGATCTCTGTGGTTTAAATTTGAAATCTTTCGCTAGCTTCTTGATGACTGTTCGTCTGATCGAGATTGTGGTTCGGGCCTGTACTGTTTCTCGTGCCCTCTTGGATTCTCAGGCTCTAGGTGTGTAAGATCAGCCATTACAGACCAGTTCAAGCTCATTGTAAGTAGGATGCAATATGTGTGTGTGTGTGTATCTCCCTATCTTTTCGCCTGATTCTTAGCAAATTGCCATAACAACGCACTCACAGTCCTCATCAGAAACCGCGTCGTCGTTTAACAATCATCAGTTAACTTTTTGATTATTTGATTCTGCTATGTTTTCTTGGAAGGACTATGGCCCCATATATAATTATCTAATCCAGAATGGGTCCACTTAACAGTAGATTTTTGTGAATACATAATTTTTTGTATACAGTGTATTTTTAGTCTCAGTACATCATTATTAATTTAGTTTATTATCCACTCTTCACTCCTCTCGTGTCAACATCAGTTGGGTATATCGACCTGTAAGGAGTCTGATCGGATTTATCATATATCGAATAAAGATTAAATTTATTCAAAATATCTACAATTTCTAAAATTTGATTGATACAGGAAATTTTGAAGGCAGATTATATCATTTTTTTTTTTTTTTTGGTTGTGGCAACAGAATAATTCTCTGCCTTTCAACAAATATGCATTTCTGACAACACACAATGCTTTTGCCATTGATGGAGAGCCGTCTCACACGGGAGTTCCTCGGTTAACAGCCACTAACCAAGAAGACACTGTCACCCAGCAGCTAAATGTATGATATTTAACCTTCAACCTCTAGATCATGCCTTCGTTTTCTGTCTTTCAAGTCATGTTTAATCTCACTCACCTTTCTTTATCCTCTCAAAATGATTCATTTTTGAAGAACGGAGTTCGAGCACTAATGCTAGATACGTACGATTTTCAAGGAGACGTGTGGTTATGCCATTCATTTGGAGGACAATGTCATGATTATACAGCTTTTGTAAGTAAACGTGTTTGTTTATTTTCATAGTTTAACACAGAAAAATCCTTGACTCGATTCTGTGATGAATGAACAAGTAGGAACCTGCTCTAGATACCCTTAAAGAGATCGAGGCGTTTCTATCAGCAAATCCATCGGAGATTGTGACTCTGATCTTGGAAGATTATGTTCAAGCTCCTAAAGGCTTAACTAAGGTCTTCACTGATGCTGGTCTCATGAAGTACTGGTTTCCTCTCTCAAGCATGCCCAAGAATGGTCAAGACTGGCCCCTTGTCAGTGATATGGTTTCCAAAAACCAGAGATTGCTTGTCTTCACTTCTATCAGATCTAAGGAACAAAGTGAAGGCCTTGCTTACCAATGGAACTACATGGTGGAAAACCAGTGTAAAAACCACACCATCCTCCAGAAAACTCTCTCCTTTTCTCTGTACCAAAGTGTTAAACTATTTATGAGGCTTTCTTTTGTGCAGATGGTGATGGTGGAATGAAAGCAGGAAGTTGTCCAAACAGGGCAGAGTCATCTGCTCTTGATGACAAAAGCAAATCTTTAGTGTTGGTGAACTATTTTCGATCTACACCAGTTAAGCCCATCACGTGCAAAGATAATTCTGGAGATCTCGTTAACATGTTAAGCACTTGTTATGGTGCTGCTGGCAGCAGGTGGGCTAACTTTGTTGCTGTTGACTACTACAAGGTAATTTTTTTTTCCAATACTCTTCTCTTGCAAGAATTTGATTGTTGATAGAACACATATGATCCGTGTAGCCAATCCTATCTAGTAGGATAGGACTTGTTGTTTTCTTCTCTGCCCCTTGTAATATTTGCTGTTAAAGCTTCCGTTTTTGGAGTCATATACTGTAAGAGAACACTGATATGATTCTGATCTGCACAGAGGAGTGAAGGAGGAGGATCGTTTCAAGCTGTGGACACTCTTAATGGGAAGCTTTTGTGTGGGTGCGACGATGTCCATGCATGTCTGGTAGAGCATTCTTACTCCAACTTGTATGTTTTGTTTAAGAAGAGAATGTCTAAGTTTGCCAATTTAATCATGAAGTTTGATTCTCGTGATTTCAGCCTGGGTCAACTTCACAAGCTTGCTCATCAGCACCACAGTAAGTAGGGCGACAGGTGCAACAAGGTTTCGAAGATGTTGATCTTCATTTGTTTAGAGCCACTGTTGCTCGCGTAGTTGGGGATTGGCATGCAATTATGCAACACTGTTATTACTTATTAGACAGCAACAATATCTATACATTTAACAAAGGAAAAGAGAAAGAATGAAAATGAAAGAGCGTGTTGTTTTCTTGGGTTAAGATGTGCAGTAAGGATCTCAAACACTTTTTCTTTCAATCTCACAATTTAATGGGTAACTCTATCGTTAAAGCTAATTATTGAGGTGCGATAAACGATCCACTTAAATATTTTATTAAGTATATCATATAACTCAATGTGGGGCTTAGTATCTTGTACTATCAAACCCCCATCAAATTTTTTTCAAATGTAAGATATTTTACTAATGCAATACCGTGTTAAAACACTTTTTTCACAAGATTTATTTATTTGTAATTAGATACAAGATTCGTTATGTCTAACTCAGATGTCGATTTTTTTGTTTTTTAATTCATAATTATTATTTATTTTAGATGACACGAAATGTTTAGTGAAGACAACATTTTAATTTTCACTGAAAATAAATTATCTACGTTATCTTATATATTCAATTTCTTGTTGAAACAAGAAAATGGACAAATACAATTATACTCCTCCGATCCTTAATATAGGACCCAATTCTTGAGTTGGTTTTGGTCCTAAATATAAGACCCATTTCTCATATTTATCAATTTTCTCTAAATTACCCCTATAGATACTCTCTCAACCATAATTAAGTAGAAGAGGGAGAGGGGGTATTAAGAAAGATGATTATGGTGTTTTAAGAAAAATGTGTCACTTTTCTTATAATTAACCAACTTACCTAACTTCCTTAATCTAATCAAATTTGTTAAATGAGTCTTATATTAAGGACCGGAGGAGTAATAAAAATTAAAGTTGACTCTTCTCATCGGGACAATATACTCTCTATAATTGAATTTTAAAGTGCTTTAAATATGACAAGTATTTACAATTGGGAAATCAGTTAAAAAAACCGCAAAAATTATAAAATCACAATTTAGAACTTGTTAAAAGACTTGTATAGGTTTTACCATTTTAATAACGATCAAATGGTAAATGAGAACAATTTTTTTTTTTTTTACAAAATACCTTATTTACAATTTCATGATTTTTATGGTCTTTTTTGTGATTTTTTCTTTGTTATTAATATATGATTTTTTTTATCATTTTAATCAAGATCATTGTTAAAATTAGAGTGAGAAATTAATAGAGATTTCGCTAAAGATTATTTCAATTGAAAATATTAATGCATTATGCTATTACTATTTTTAGTTTTAATTATAAGATGTCGTTTGTAGATTACAAATAAAATGTTATAATTAGGACCGGAAGTAGTATTATATAAACCAAAAAAACACATACAAGGCACAAGCTAAATTTAAATGATACAAATTTCGGAGACTAATTTATTTATTTTATTTTTGTGACCAGCACTAATTTCCAAGAAGAAAGGAGAACACTCCAAGAAGAAAGGAGAACACTTCATCCATGGCTTCTGCATCCTAACTGACTTTTAACAGAAACAGAATTTCAGTTATGAATGTCGTACATTCGACTAAAACGATGTCGTTGAAGCTTGAGATTCAACAACCAATCTTTCTCATTTTTCCAAGTTTAAAATTCCAACACGACTGTTCGAGCGTGATCCTCCGCCTCGGCAGCTCCTTTCCAAAATCAACTCTTTCCTTCTTTCTCTCTCGCGCTGCTTCGCCCACCCTCTCCGCCTAGTATCCTTTTCTTCTCGATCCTGGGCTTTACGAGGGTTTAAGCAAAACCTGATATAAACCCTAAATTGTTCGTTTTCTTCCTCATTTTTCCGTAATTGCATATTTACTCTGTTACGGTCTGTCTCATTAATTATTTCTGACCGCGTTTTATTTTCTCGGAGTCTTTTTATGCAAGAGATCGAATTAAGACTTGCAAATCACTGGTAAGCCCGAAACTGTTTTTCAATTAAATTTCCTTCGTCGGACTCCCCTTTGTTCATTTGGCATTCAAACAAAGACCAGCTAGGGTTTCGGCTGGTTCTTTATTATTTAAAAATTTTTGGTATCTTGATTAGTAGTTTAGTGGGCTTCCCCTAGTAATAAAGCTGAGGGGTCTTGCTTGAGTAATGGATGGATTTTTTTTTTTTTTTAAATCCGTATTGGTGGGAAAATGGCTCCCCATGAATAGTCAAATCTTTGCTTTTTGGCGGAACTCTGTTAATTACTCTTTTCTCTTCCTTTTCTTCTATCATAGAATGGAAATCTGAAATTCCATTTTTTTCCCTACTTTCTCAGTGATGACTATGATTGAGGGGCCGAATGAATCATAATGATTTGGCCCTTGAGATTTTTGGAGTGAAGAATGGTGCTTTTGGGCGTTTATGTCATGTTCAAGTGATGTGAAGTGCTGAATATGGGCGATGGTGCTGGGGAGACTGGAAGACAGCTTGAACAACCAAACACGCGGAGAAAATTGGGTGGTGATGACTTTGCCCAAGCAATTGCAAAGGTCGCAGTAGGGCAAGTATGCGAGAGTGAGGGTTTTCATGCCATTCAACGGTCATCTCTTGAAACACTATCTGACATTGCAGTTCGGTATATTCAGAACGTTGGGAAAACTGCACGTTGCCATGCTAATCTTGCAGGTAGAACTGAATGCAATGTTTTTGATATCATGCAAGGGTTAGAAGACATCGGATCTGCTCAGGGATTCTTAGGTGCCTCAGTTATTGATCATTGCGTTGGAAGTTCAGGCATTGTTCGGGAGATTATTCAGTTTGTGACTGAAACTGAGCCAGTTCCATTTGCCTATGCCGTCCCAAAGTTTCCAGTTGTGAAAGAACGGGTACTGACTCCAAGTTTTTTACAAATAGAAGAAGAGCCTCCTGCAGAGCATATACCTGCTTGGTTGCCTACCTTCCCTGACCCTCAAACATATTCTTGGTCACCTACAATGGATAAGAGAGGGACAGAATCTTATGTTTCGAAACTTGACCTGGAAAGAGAGCATAGTAAGGGGGAGCGGTATTTGTTAAATTTGCAGCCACAGATGGTATCGAATGTGGCTGAAAAGTCAGCATTGATTGAAACAACTAATGCAAAGGGGAAAAAAGTAGCAGGGGAAAGTAACCCGTTTCTTGCTGCCCCTCTGCAATTTGGGGAGAAGGAAGTGGCTTCTGTGACCCCTCCACCTAAGCTTTTCAATGATGTAGCTGCAGCAAACCCTGCTGCGGAAGATTTTGTTGAAGACAGATTTATTTCAGTGCTGGACACATTTGCTCCAGCAATTGAAGCTATGAAAAGCTCACAGTGTGATTTTGATGAAGAGCAGAGTAAGCTTCTTTTAAATAGGAGGCCTCATGTGCATTTCAAGATTGGAATCAAAAAGAATTTTGTAGGTAGGTTGGTAGACTCTGGTCCGCAAAATGAAAACGATGAGAAGACTCTCCCGCGGTTTGTAATGGAAGGTGAGAAGGATGATAGGAAAAAGAGGGCAGAGAAAATTCTGAAGGAATCTTTGGAAAATCCAGATGAGCTTGTTCAGTTGTAATATATATTGCTTTTAGTGAACTTGTATACTTGTTCAGGAGACTGTTGGGATAGCTAGTTCTGGGATAGTGAATTCTAGGTCCTTGTCTGCTTTTGGGGATTATAGGATGGGTATTACTATTTTGCAGAGACATGTTCCCACTTTAACAATCTTTGAGGTATGTGCTTGTCAATTGCTTGGCAAATCAGATCATTATTCTTTTCATTGAAATTTGTTCTCATTCTTTTAGATCTTACACTAAACAGCATTTGAAAGTAACAATAATGATTTGTAGCTGTTGCCCTGAATTTGGGCACCACAACAGCCATCTCGTGAAAAATAGTTGACTTCTTCTTCAACTTGTTTATGAACACTTGAAAGAAGAATATGTTCTTCTAGACTTGTTTTATCACTTAGATATTTTATTGGAGGCCTACCTGCATGTCATGTACATGCTACCTATAGCATGTCTTGCCATAACCTACATTCCTTTTTTTTTTTCGGTATCCAAACATGAGTTCACCTCACATTTCCTCATATTGTAATAAAATGTGTGCTGGAGATGACTTAAAATATTAAGCTTGGTAGTATGCTTTGTCTTTTACTGGTGGTTGTCAGTTGTGAATCCACACACACACACGGAAAAGGATAAAAGTTGGCTGGTGTTTTAATGTAAGAGACGTCTTGTACTCTGTTCTTTTAAAAGGGGGGTTGCTTGTATTTCAGTATTTCTGAAATCTCAAGTTTCTTCTACAGACCATTTTATATATGTGAGCATCTGCGCACCCGGGCAAAATATTCTATTTACTCTATGAAAGAACACAGATGATGTTGAACACGATTACTTGTTCTTGATGGGTCTTAAAAAGTTGATATTTCCTGAATCTTAGCAGGCTTCGATCAGGCAGTGGGTATGGGAATTATCTTCCTGCGTCATGCAGCTATGTTGAATATGGTTGTTGGCAATATGCCAGTTGAGAGTAAATAGATTGGGTGAGTATCGGTCCTGCTGCAGCTATGCTGCCTTTGAGAACAGAGCATCATGTAGTCCTGAAAGCCAGACAGATGTACTGGTTCCACGACTGAATCTAATAATTGAAGACATATAGAAATCAGCTCGCTGATTACTTATATATACATTTATATGCATTTCTACATGTATTTTATCAACATAGGAATATAAACACATGAAAAGAAGAAGAGGTTAGATGGCCACCGATTGTTCTGCATGAATTCATATGAAAGGAGGGTTACAATGTCAGTCAAGTATTATGTATTGCCAGAAAAGGAAGGTAAATGAAGACAATATTTCTTGTAAAACTGCTTAGCCATCATTCCTACTTGGGAAACAGCAGTTGTCTGCAATGCTTGCCAGGATGATTTGCCACTTCACCTCTCACAACTTCGGTTATCAAATCTTTAAAGATCAACCGTTCAATATCTAACGCTATATCTGGAATCTCACTGCGGCAGTTTGTCCAAATTGTGGGTTGATGCATCAAGTCTTCCCACAAGAGACTTGCCAAATTCTCATCCTCATTACTTAGGCTGGCATTCTTATTTTCATGACGCAACTTGTCAAATTCTGACCAAATTTCACATAGAAGCTGCTGTCCTCTTAGTTTTCTGCCCACCAACTCATGCGGAAGGAACCACTGACTAGGGGAACTCTCCAATATCAGTTTTTGAACTAAAATATCATAGACAACATCAAGTATGAGTTTTCTTTGCATTTGCTCCTTTGTCTTGGCATTGTCTTCAATGTTACAAAGCCTCTTCTTTGTCTTGATTTGTTCTAGTGCGAGGAACAACTTTGTGCCATTCATGTAGGGTGATGACTGTGTCTGGTTAGAGCCTGGGCCACTGAGCAGACCTGATGCGAACAGTATTTCAGATATGTATTTATGATCAGGATCTTTAATGTCACTGAATGGTCCAATGAAATCGATGGCTTTATCATGGGGACAGTCAGTATTTTGAAGTTTTTGAAACAAATACTGAGTGTTTAATTCTC